GATGACTTTTTGTATGAAAATGCCTTGTTAATTATTGTTCAAGTTGTATTGTTCTTCAAAATTATTAAGGTGTTCTAAGAAGTTCAGATCTGACCTTAGATGTGAGATTTGATATTCAATGACCTCAAGTTCAAATAAGTCCTTGATTCAAATTCACCAAATTTTTTCTCAGAAGTTTTTTACTTAGATTAGATATTTCACCTTGGTTGAAGTTTTTGGATCCATTTTTTTTTAAAATTGAAACCAAGTGCTGACATTTTGTCATTTTGACAATTGCCAGATGATGACTTTTTGTATGTAAATTATAATGATGCATATGTTTATTGTACAATGTATTAGTCTTGAAATAGGCTCTGTATACAAATACAAGTATAGCATTTTGTATTTCCCATTTGTTGTAAAACTAAATGTCAAAAATAAACTGGATATGAGATATACATATTTGCAATTGGTTCTTTTTTATTATTATTATTAGGAGTTTGATATTCATCATACAGATATTTATACTAATATCTCCAAAATGTTGCAATTCATAATTGTTGAACAAAATCGCATATGCCCATCTTTAGGATTGAGGACTATTGTCTAATTGTAGACATAAAAACTTACAAACGCTTATATGAAAAACAACTTGCATCAGTATTGCTTTGAAGTTTCATCAACCCCATACATCTTCATTTAACCTTTTTTAAAACTTTGACATAAGAAATGAAAAATGGCCGAAATGAATAGCTTAAAAATTTGACGATTTGCATCATAATTTATGTATTGAATAATCTTACAATATTTGTGACATGAGTGAAATGTTTCTCATTGAAACCGACCACATGATCTATGGTTATTCCCGGTCATCTGCAATATCCACTTACAGTCTCGTTTTGAACCGAATACACCATGAAGTCAAGTATGATAGGCTATGTACCACGCTAAAAGAAGGTTCTGATGTATAGCGTATTGCAGGTACAGGGTGGTAAAAAAATTGGAAGCCCTGCCACTATTTTCATCATATCTCACCATTGCGCTGTAGGCAAACATGCTCAAGTAATTCAAAATGTCCTTGTCTCAGGTTACTTTCCTTTTACCTGTAGGGATATACTGAAGACAAAGTGTACAAGAATGGCCTCATTGGAACAATGAGATTATCTGTGTCATTCAGGCCATAGGCTCTAAGGAATAAAGTCGGGTCATTGACCACGTGTGCAGGTTTGCATGCAGCATGTTCAAAGTTCTGTTATATTGTGACTATTAGGCTGGATGGTCATGTAATATGCTAGGCTAGTTGGAAATGGAATGTTGTACAAAGGTGTAAAATATCAGGTAGTAATTTTCTATAATGACAAAGATATGAGGAAGACGCATGGTTTCCGTTTTTTGACCACCCTGTAACGGTATATTAGATTACGTTTTCTCCTGACTAGCCAAGATACAGCTTTACCCCATGCAAGATATTGCCATTTTTCATCCTAAGAAGTCACACGTGTAAGATGAAAAAAACTTTCTTGTACTCGTACCTGTGCAAAATCGTCCATTCTTGAGGCGCTTTGATAACATTTCTTTATCTCGTCTGCGACTCGATAAAGAAGAATCGTCAAAGCTCATCAAGAATGGATGATCTTGCACAGGTACTCATATAAGAACCTTTATATTCCAGTCATAGAAGTGACAAACGTTAGTGTTCATTTATGCTGTTGTTGCAGCTCTTTCATGTAACACAACTGTAATACATGTTATCGTTAACTACAATATAAGGCCAAATAACTCTCCAACAATGGACAAGAAATCCATTTAAAATATATTTAAAAAGCATCGCCACAATAAATCCATTTTAAATATACAATGCTTGTATCTGGAAAGATATGCAGCCGTTTCGTATATTCCCTGAGTAAAGTGAGAGACAAACCAATGGGCAGGATGGATGAAAAACACAAAAACGGAAATTATTAGGAAACTTTCAACTGTTGGATTACACATTTGTCTTTTGTTCAGCTAAGCATGACGAAATTTATAAAAAAAACTTCATATTTGCTGATCATGTATACGAAATCATTGAATTTTAGACAGTCTAAAGGTAAATCGATACTCAGCCCTATGGAACACACTCTAAAAGTGCTGATCCTAGTTCTTTTATTAAATTAATTTCCAGGGAAAATGTTGTATATCATGCTTTTCTGAGCGTCTCAAATTTCGCGCATTTATTAATCATCTGAAACGCTCATGTAGGTCCTCCAAGACTTTTACCCCATCTGTATTTATCGATAATGTCCCCAATTTAGGTATGGTGGCGTGCACACCCCTGAAGTATAGAACGTCTGATATGTATATTTATATGGTAGTGTTCATATATGATATGATGCTGTGGTGTTTGATTCCCAGGAAGCATCTTTTCAAGATCATGGTGATTTGAGACTTCATACTTTCCAATAATGTCGAGATACACATCCCTTACGTTTTTTTATACAGTAAAACCTGTTTAATCCGAACGCCATTGGGACCGGCTAAAAGCGTTCAGATTAGGAGGTGTTCACATTTCAAGGTTTTTGCATTCGCAATATTCCGGATTCTGAGGAAATGTGAACACATTCTCGATATATATTTATAGTTCTTCTGACCACATAGCTTTCAATGGCATTCCTGAAATTTGAAAATTCGATTCAAATGTATCTAGTCATGCTTGAAAGCCCCATTATAATTGACACCATTCTAGATATTTTCCAAAGTTTTGATATCATGACAATATTTGAGCAATTTTGTATGAAACATCAGAAATTTTATGAAAAGTGTTCAGATTAGACAAGTGAATTTTTCAAATATGACTGTTCACTGTTCAAATTGGGAGGTGTTCACATTATAAGGTTTTTTTAACATGGGCGTCAATGGGAGGAAAAAATTGGACCGAAAAAAGTGTTCAGATTGGGAGGTGTTCGGATTAGCCAGGTGTTCAGATATACAGGTTCTACTGTATTTTACATTTTGTAAACTTTCATCTACTGATGTATAGTCTCTTGAAAATTCTCTTCCTTTTAACATGGGAAATCCTCACTTCAGCAAATCCTGGTGTCATTTATTTATGGTGAGCACTGTACACAATCTTCATCAAGCCTCAACTAGACAATACTTCTCTTTCTCTCCAAGCCATACATGTTCACAATAGTCCTCACTGAGCCTCAACTAAACAATACTTCTCTCCAAGCCTTCCCTGTGCACAATACTCCTCAATGAGCCTCATAGTAATGCATAGTAATTCATGGGATCTGGTTTATTATACTTTCATGGATTTTCCTTCTTTCAAAGTGCATACGCCTCATTCAATAAACTAGAAGAATTACTTGGGTATCCTTATTACATTTTCTTCATTACATGCTGATAAATATGAAATAAAGATTAAATTATAGATAAACAGAACTACAAAGTTCAATTAATTCGAAACCATTTATTTCAATAATATACTTGTACATGCAGAGCCCAAAACCTTTGGAACTTCATCATCGTTCATAAGATATAAAGATGACCCATCAAGTAGATACGAAACATTATTCGGGGAAATGCCAGCACATTTTCAATTGATTCCCTAAAAGAAATCTGCAAGGCTGGCTACTCAAAGTGGATATTATGAACATAGTTTACCATAATTTAAACAATTATATATTCTCCAAATATATGATCTCCAAAAAGACAAATGAAATAATTTGTTGCCTTATAGGTACAGAGTGAGCCAAAAAAGGTAACCCATCCAAATGTATGTTTATTAACTCAGTCATTCAGCATGGGTTTAAAATCATATTTGGCACAATTAAACCTTGTTCAATGTACTTTCATTCTACTAAGTGTCATTGATTTATCCCTGATAGCCACAATTTCATGGCCATTTACAAAACATACTCAAAATGCCGAAATGTGCCTCAGTGACTGGACATAAATCCTACCAGATTTTTATCTTTAGGCCTATTTTTACACTTACAACACTTAAAACATTGAAACAAGAGATTAGAACACTAAACCCATGCAGGATGACTGAATAATTAAGATTTGATATGGTTACTTTTTTGGCTCACCCTGTATATAACTGACAGGGAGAGCTATCATTTCTTGACCCTAAATTTGGATTACCAGAACTCTTGAAATAACTCAAGCAGGTATTCAAAGTGTCATTGAACAAAATGTCAAAAATTTTTACATGCAGTTATATTAGTGCATGTCATTCATATGCTCTATGATACAGTAGCAGTGGAATCTGTAAAGTAGGACACCTATAATAAAAAGTAGAACATCTATACTAGTGGAACACTTGACCAAGACCAATTGAGTTAATGTTAAATGAACCTTCATAAGTACAACCTCCAATGAGGGACACTTTTTAGATGTACTGAGGGTGTTCAACTTATTACTGTTTTATTCTTCACTGAAAATACATAGTAGGGAGTTTAAGCTTGCATATAAAATCCAAATGCAAACCTCAATGTATGACCCATCATCCATACAAATGCATCATTTAAATAACTTCAATACACCTCTAGGTTGTGAAAAAAACAATGCAAGCTTAAACTCCCTATTAACAGGTTGAAAGTAACATAGATTTTATAAATAGAATACTGTGGATGTGAATGGAATTTCAACAAAATCCATTACATTGATACAAATGAAGTTGATATTGGAGAATGGTATTTGAAAATTTCAAGATTTGGCCTTTTCAATTTTTGACCTCTCAATTTGTAATGAATGCTTGGGTTAATTTGGGCCCGCTTTGATTTGGCGGAATAGACCAAAAACACCAATTTACATCTTCGCCAAAATTTAGAAAGGATCTCTGGGAATTTGATTTGGTGTGTTTAAGTCAGTTTTAACAAATCTAAAAAGGATAAAAGTGATAATAAGAAAATGCCACTTCTAAATTGGCTCAGGGGAACTGCTTAAAATATAGTAGTTGAATTGTAGGAATGGGTGTAACAATTTATATTTTGTTCCAGTGTATATGGGAATTGTGGTGTCAGAGCATGTTCAAGCCCCAGTGTCCGCCAAATTAAATAGCCAAAAAAAGTGGAAAAATAGCCAAATGAAGTAGCGCCAAATGAACCCAATCTACAGTACGCCACAAGAAATAATGAAGTATCGGCTATAGAAAACTTAGAGAAACTTCAAAAACTTAGATTTGACCTGGATTGTTTGAGTTAGTTTTAGACATTAAAGTTTCGATACTTTTTAATTTACATTAATATTATGATCTTTTCACTGACTCATCATTTAATGATGTATCACTTTTTATAAAACAAAGTTCAGACAATATTAAATTGTGTATTGTTTTCTTGTCCCATTCTTTCCTCTTGGTCTGATTCTATGTCTGACAAGTCTGACAATTCAGAATCATCATCACTCTCCGAGGTGTTGTCAACAATTGTTTCATCAAGCATAGGCCTCATCATTAAAGAAAGGTAAACCCACCAATCCTTTCATATATGTAGCATCGTTGATATTGTTTACATCCATTTCCATTCCTACATTTCCATTTGTATCTTTAGACTTGTAATATAATAGAAATTGTTTCATTTCTTTTTTAAGGAGGACCTCTTCCTCTTTAAGTCTTTCAAATGATTCTTTCTTATTAACAAGGTCTCTTTTCTTCCCCAGAGTAATGTCCGACCTCCATGGGAAATCAGCTTTCAGAATACATCCCATTTCGGTTGAATTTATTTGTACTTCATTTTCTATATCTTGTGCGGCAATGTTGTATATTTCCACTGCCTTCTCAATTGCTTTCTTTGTCTTTTGGTTGGCCCTTCTCAGCTTGTGGCATTCCTTACTTGTCTCTGAAAAATTCAAACAACCAAGTTGCTGAATATGTTAATCTTGTGTTGATGGGATATCATACATTGTAATGTCTAAAACTAACCATTATTGCAGTATTAATGCTCATCCCCTAATAAGCGCCCACCCCACTTTCAAGGCTTAGATGCAAATCCACTGTACCTATTTCCAAAAAACATAATCACATTATTCTAGAATGATACTATTGTGATTGTTCAGAGGGAACAAATGTTTCACTTTGTAATAACTAGGAAAGCAAATCAGATAAATATAAATAAATAACATATAAATAAATCATAAGATAGCTTACCAGTAACTATTCTTGTAATAGGGTCTGGTTGTCCATTGTTTAAAGCATTGAAAACATCTTCTTGTTTTCTCAGCTGAAAATATTCTACCTCGGGAGAAACACCATTCCTATTTCTGTATTTGTAGAATCTGGAAAAGGTGAAAAATGATATAAAACTACAAATCAGCAACTCCACGGAGTAGCAAATCCCAATGAACACTGCATACATGAATCTGTAAATGGCTCAATGTAATATTTAAAATCTATTCTAACCTTTATTAAATTGGCAGATATTCCATTTAGGAGTTTCAAAGGCACAAATGATAGACATTAGAATGTTTGAGATCTAATAGAGTATTATGTAATCTTAATTTGAAAATGACAACTGCAACAACAAAAAAATTCGACAAACAATGGAGCATGTTGTTAGGTCATCACATGATATATCCTACCTTGAACATGATCAAGTATATCTTGCTTCATTTCAATGAGGTCATATTCCTTGTACTTGGCAAGGTCTTCTTCAGCCTCAGCAACCATTTTCTCACCTATTTGAAATAAAAAGTTTTGACATACAGGCCAAAAATTGCTTCCTACATATACATCTAGGGGTTCCACTAGAATTTTTCACAGCAGACTAAGTAAATGAAAACAGCAGGCAATATTAATGGAAATCATAAATTCAACATGGAAAAGTTGAAAAGTCCCTCAAGACAATGGGCGATTATATGAAAACAACTGCTGAAAATTGCTTGTTGCCTGCTGCTAATGAAGTCCCTGTACATATATTCCTGGTTTTCTATACATTTGAAAAATATGACAAATAAAGGATTAACACAGGGAACTCTGAACTCTAGCTCAAATTATTACAATGTAAAGTAAAACCCATCTGAGTGGACACATCTCTCAAGTGAACACCTGTATCTAGTGAACACCCTTCCTCTCCCCACATACTCTACTGACTTTTGTAGAAATTATCCTCTCTGGAGTGAACAGCTACAAACCCTGAACGTTTTCTCAGTAAAAAAAATGTTCAATATACACAGGTTTTACTGTAGATGATAATGTGCAGTTCTTTCTGTTTCAAACATATTCCATGTACAGGGTGATCCTGATGTAACTTCAAAGACATTGCATTTCCATACTGAATCTCAAACAAAACTAAGTGTATACAAAATATAGAGTCTATTTTTGATTGGTTGATTTTGAAAGATAATTTTTAATTTTAATTTATTCAGCCTATCAAGTCGAGAGTTTTATTTGCCCCATATGACATCACGATGGGTTACCATGGTAACCATGAAACGAATCACATTGTTAACTAAGAAATTTTTGTGGAAAATCTGTTTTAAGTTTCAAGATGACTGTCAAGAGAATTGAATTGGCAAAACCTTTGAAGTTACATCTGGATCAATTTATATAAAGATACCTTCCTATATCTTCGAGTTAAATACTCCTGGAGCGACTTCACTTTCTTCCTTCCCCAAAATGAAACGAGACGTGTGATCACCTCCTCTCTTCCTATAAAAGTGAGGCAAAGAAATGTGTAAATCATTTGTTTTATGTTTTCTTCTGACTACCTGCAGACAAATGGTATGGAGGCATTCTTTATTGATAATTTGTTTGAAAATGTATAATTTACTATTACTTAGTTATTGACTTCAACTGTTTGAATATAGTTAACAATTTTACTCACTAGCACAACCCATGTATTTGGAGGGCTTGCAAGCATTGGATGTTGTCCAAGCACCCTTCTTCCAATCACCACCCCACATTATCTGAAAATACATATGTTCAGTTTTGTAACTGGATGATCAGGAGCTTGATATAGCAAAATACATACTGCCGATAGGAATTTTGGCCACCTCCAGCTCCTGATCATCCAGTATTTGTTTTTTATGCACTTCTCAATCAAGATACTGAGTGTACATCTTTTAAGAATTTTTGGTTTTCTTAAAACTCAAGATGGCGTCCTATACACCAAACAAAAAACGTACCAGGAATTTTCTTTTCATTTAATATAGTTTTTGTACTGTATATGTTATGCTTTGCTGTATATTCCATATCATTGAAGCTAATAATAAAAAGGTATTCTCAGTATTCAAAAAAGGAACACTTATATACCAAGAATATATAAGACTATATATTGTAGTTAAATACTTTTTCTTACCTGGCATGGAGAAGAATGGCTTGGCCATAGGAGTGCATACAGTGTGCATAAGCGAATATCTCCCCTTGGAACATGTTTAGAAGTTTAGGAGGTATAACATGTCTGCATGTAGAGCCAAATACACCAGTTTGGTCAAGACGTGCCATCCTATGCGAGCTCTCCTTAGCAGCTTTCCAGTGGCTTTGTCCACAAACATCAACTTCTGAGTTCTACAAAAGAATATAGCACTTATTTTGAACACAACTGAATGAAACATTTCATATTTTTCAATAAATATAGTTTTATCCATTGTGCATATATATCTCTTACATAAGTCATAATCGTGGCAAGATTTTGTCACACTTTCATATGGATGGATGGAGGGTTTCACTTTATCCCAACCAAACTTTGTTAGCTTGGATAATAAAGGTATGAATACATGTTAATTGCTTTCATATTTATGGTATTAGAATGAGTTTTTCTACTTTAATAGGCCATGAAATGAATTCTCTGATATTTAACAGAGAATCTACTTTTTAAGGCCCAATGTCTTTTGTTATTAAATTTACTTACAGGGGTAAGATCACAGCTGATCTTTTTAAGATGACATACTGGTCGACTTCTTCATCTGGGGTGAACAGTTCAGATCCAAAATATGATTTTCTTTCTCCCCTAATAAAAAAATAAATAAAAAACAAATCATAGAAACAATCAGGATGAAAAACAATATAATGAATAACAGGATATCTGTTGTAAGATATGTGATGTGTTAACATTCCTAACTTATACATTTTTATGCCATCAAGTATTCACATATCATCACATATGGAAAAAAATAAAACAGTCCATTAGTTTTTGAGTTTTGGCAATAATCATAGACAAGGCATTAACATGCAATCTGTCACCACCTGTCATTTGTTACAGACAGCAACTGCCGAACACCAACCACTGAACACCAAACACAAAAAAAGTTGGTGACCATAACAATATGTCACATGCAAGACTGCTTTAAAACCCACACACTAATTACATGCTCAGCCTTTTTATCTTCATATTTCCATCAATCATAATAGAATGGGTACTTAAATCACTTAACATACCTTAAGAATATCTATCTTTGACTGTGGTTTGTTTGTTGGTTGTCTGGGCACCCAAGCAGGATTCCTACTATTCCAAATAATATCAAAGTGTGGTTCTGGCTGTATTCTCGATATTGAGGGATATAATGGCTGGCCATCTTCATCCACACAGTCAAGGTCAAGGTCTTTAGAGGCAACTTTCTTAAAGTTTTCAATCGTAAAGGGCCCATTGTCTTTGATGTACCATGTCCACAAATTCACTGTGATTCCAGTTTTTTGAGTCCTCCAATATGCATCAGCAACAAGCCTTCGCTGTGATAAGGTGCCTATTTCATGCTCATGCTTATCATCATACTTCACGCCACGCTTGATTCTGGAATACAAACATTCATCTTTAACTTTTAATTACGGACAGATTTATAATAATGGGAGGCTTATAGGCATCAATGTTCAGTATAAATTTCCACTGGATTTTAAATATTTTTTGAACCATTAGTAAGATACTGTAGATTTGGTTAATTTGGTGCCCGCTTTAATTTGGCGAATTTGGCGAAATTGTAAAATTCGCCAATATAAATCTTCGCCAAAATTTAGAATGAATCCCCGGAAATTATCTAGGGTATTTTGTCCAGTGTATTTAGGTCACTTCCGGTTAAGTTTTTTCCAAAAATATGAAAAAAAGTCTCATAAATTGGCTCAGAACTGGTCAGTCACTCATTAATACTCAGGGAAAAACTAGAAAGGAAAAGCGCGGTATAGTAGCAACATCGATCGAAGTGCAAAATGTAAAGGTTGATCTCACAAAAATGTACAAACATGGTGAATATCGCCAGTGGTCCTCAAAATAAAAAATGAACCTAGCCAAACATGCCCAATTTTTTGCATATCCTCCAAATTAAATAGCCGCCAATATGCCAAAAATGGCGAAATCGCCAAATTAAGTAGCGCCAAATTAACCCAATCTACAGTTACAGAAATTCTGTTTTGACCTCCAGTCAGTTTGACTAGTTCAACATATCATTTACATGACCAGGATCACAATGTACATGGTCAGAGGGCTGAAAAAATTATTTCATCATGTTTAGGGTCATTCTGACCATGTACATTGTGATCCTGGTCATGTAAATGATATTTGGCACTAGTCAAACTGACTGGAGGTCAAAACAGAACTTTGTTATCCACAGGAAGATTAGGACTTGAGACATACGAGGGCTCTGCCTGATCTTCCATACAAACCCCTGTGCTGTTATCTTGGTTCAAAAAATCTTCAAAATTCAGTATGGTTTTGTCACTTCCTGTTTTGGCATTTCCTGTCAGGACCATGGCACCTCAAGATCATGCCTGTTGGAGATTTCAATTTATTTTTAAAAAAATTCAAAAAACAAACATGGCGACTTCGTGCATCGAAAATATAAGCCAATGTCGAAATAACCCCATGGTCGAAATAGCCCCATGACGAAGTAAACCCATGGTCGAAGTTCGACGGATCTCCCCTTTACTATGATTTTTTCGGTTAACATGCCCCAATACGAAATCTTTATTGAAATGGTACAATTGAAGGCTACCCACACTGTCCTCCTAAAGAGAAAGGTGCAAAGCTTCCCCTCAGAGAATATTGCATTTCCCTCACACTGGGCTTGTATTGAAGATAAGGGAGGGTCATAGGAACACACAAGGCCATTGTTCGATACCCCATTCAAGCCCCTGTATTATTATTAAATACTCCCATATCTTATGTTTTGGGAATGGCTGGAATGGAAAATAGCCTAATTCGAAAAATAATTTCTACTTCTTACCTGGAACGACTTTTCGGGATTTTTGTAGACTAGATAGATTATTGTTGCTATGCTATGTTTGAACGTGGAACTAATGATCTCTCCTTTACAAGATAGAATGCAGCAAGGTTTCCCAATGATATAATATTTAGCCAAGGAGGATTGGCTCCCAGGATCGAAACTCGATATTTTCCAACAATGAAAACGTCGAAATGTCGTTATTTTCTGAAATTAAAACCGACTATAAATTCAAAATAAACAGTTCAAAAGATTCGAACCAATATCTCGATCATTTCTTGTGAGTTTTGGAATTTTTCGTTTGGAAATAAGACCAAAATTCACGATTTAAATGTTGAAGTGAACAAAATGGCGGCTGTTTGAATTCGAATTTTGTATTACGACATACCCATATATGGGACAGAATATCGGTGGTGCACTCTGGGAGCCAATCCTCCTTGATATTTAGCCATTTATTCAAGAAATCATTCCTCTTGAAAACGCGTGCAGCGCGCCATTTTTAAAAAATACGGAGTGAATACGATACGCAAGCATTATTATCTAAAAGTCTATCATATAACTCCAATCTGTGATGATTCGTCATACTATTCTATTTAAATTAATAGTGAACCCAAAATATAATTTTTAAATACTCAAATTTAATAAATAATATTAGCACTAAATTTGACATTAATATTGCGGCATGAGCGCAACTGCTACGGTTGCGGGAATACCGCAATGGTATTAGGAGTATTGACTGTAGAAGGACCTTCACAACCTTATTAACACTCAAAGACAATAATGGCAATTAATCAATCAACAATTCATAAATGAATGAACAGGTTAATTAAAATGTTCGAAATCTTAGAAAGGCAGTTAACAATCAAATGTGTGAAATCATGAAATCATTTTACCGTTAACAATATCGTTAACTTTTAAAGGCACTTATTCAGTGCCCAGATAGCTAAGTTATTATCATGTAGACATATGTGCTCTTTGACCCAAGTCCAAGTCATAAAACTGGTATATGTATATAGTGGCTGAATCAATTGAACAGTTTTAAATAACTATGTGTTACCTTTAAACATGATCTCACTTATATCCATCCATCATATGGGAATGTGTATTGATAAAACTACAGGTCTTGGTGTAGTGTTTTTCTGGTGATTGAAGTTGAGGTGACGTCTTGTTTGAATTCAAAATACACAATATTTTAAGATGTGTGTTAGAACATTATGAATAATCTCTCAATTGCATATATCATGTCATGCAAATGCAACAATAAAAAAAGTCAAAACAACTCCAGAGCATTGGGCCTGTTGCGGTTACGGGTCAACGCGGTAGCCTGGCGTCCGGCCGTTTAATGGGGGGTGCTCTGGATGTGAAAAGATACAAGATACTGGTACATAATAATTAATAGCGAATCCTAAAGAAGACGTATGATTTGACCACCGAAGTCCAGTAGATACTTCATTATTAAAAACACGAGCCTTTTCAGCGCCATTTATTTTATTTATTTATTTTTTTTTATTTGCCAGCTCAGAATCAAAACCGCGTGGCAATTAACAGGTAAATTGTACCTGTACATCTAAACAACAAGTGTGTATAGGTAAATTGAAATAAACTGATGTTTGCTGTTGTAGGATGTACAAATGTGTGGTGTGTTGTATGTGTGTGTATGTGTGTAATGATGGAGTACATGTTGGTTGACTTTTGGCAAATCCTTAAAATTGATACAATGTATATTGCACAACAGGTAAGTATGAACAGGTCTGTATTGATATATTCTTGTTTGAAATAAATAATAAAACTATTTTACTGATTATTGAATGGGAGTAAGATTTAAAGCTGTAACTCTAAATGTTAGAGAAACTAAAATATGGAGCTTTCAGTACAAAATACTTACGAATACACTAGTGTGCAACCGTAAATTAAAAATGATGAACATTTCACAGACAGACAAATGTCCATGGTGTGATGATACTCATACCATGGAGCACATGCTGGTGAAGTGTAGAATAACAAAAGATATATGGAAGCAATTTATTGAATGGTGGAAACTAAAACTAAATAAAGAATTAAATCTAACTGAAAATGATATTTTATTAGGTATTATCGGGAATATAGAAAAAGGTGCAGAACTAAATCTGTGCATATTAATTATGAAATATGTCATATACAAATCTTTTTTAGAAAATGAATTACCTTACTTTTTCAAATTTTCCAATTATCTGAGAATATATTTGAACAGTGTTAAGCTGCTTGATCAAAAGGGTGTAGACATACATGCTTTATATAGACTTTTATGAATACACAAATAAATTCTTATTTTACAAATTTGTGTCATAGTCAATGTATGAATAGTGGGTGAATGAATGCATGCACGAATGTAATGAATGGGTGTGAATGGAGTCAGTAAGATCATGTAATAATTTTTTGTTATTATTACTATTTAAAAATGATTTATATACATAGTACATATATCTATATGAAAGAACTACTTGTATTTAATGAAGCTTGTACTTGAATTGTATTAAATTATTACTTGAATAAAAAAAAAAAAAAAAAAAAAAAAAAAAAAAAATACTCGAAAATTCTGAATCAAAAATTGATTGATGACGTCACAATTTATGCAAATTAACTAATTTGCATAATTAAATATCATTACTTTATGGGAAATTTAATTAGGTTTAATTTGATACAAATATCGTCTCTATAGACCAAATAATGACAAAGCTACAAATGATTTAAGATTCCAAGGTAAGATGTCTATAGATGCGTAACCATGGTAACGGAATGCTACAATACAGAGCAACCAATGAGAGTTTGCAAGGGCATCCGGCAAAAAATTGATCCTCAAAGTGTTACCCTTCAAAAAAGTATGGATGCCATAAATTAACAGAGACCGACACGTTGGGTAAATTTTTTGAAACGATAGAGAGGCATGGGTCTCTAACTATTATATGAAAATTATCATTTCCATGTCAACCAATTATGTTAAATGGCGGGCTTAGGGCAAACGATTCATAAAAATAGGAAATTGAAATGTCTTACTTGTATGCACGCTAAGTATTTAGTTAACTTGATTAACATTAAAGCTACATACACGTAGCTTCAGTCATTTTTGAATATTATTTTTCGTCTCCTGTGTTATTTTAGCGAGAACTCTGATGGGTAGATATTCTGTCATCAATTTCCTACCTATTGTCATCGTCGAAAAATTGAGGAAAAACCCTAAAAGCAGTTCTTGACAGATTGAGGTACGGCCTTGAATACTTTAATGCGGCACGTATACCTGTCCCACCATGGATCACTTTTTGAGAGCATGTTTATATTTTGCTTTTGTCGTAAATCCCAGCTACTGTACTCGTAATTAAGGTACATGTACTTAGGTTTCAAATAGTGACAACTTTGATAAATAGAAAAAAAGTGCTCATCGATACTGGCTACCACAATACATCACCAGCAGTCTACCTTCCTCGGAATTTGGGGGCTACGCAATGGTACTTTGCCCATGCTCCGACTATATCCGATTTTATTGAGAAGGCGCCCCCAGCAGAGGACTGGTTAAACCTCCACATGTATCCAACGGTTGCCCCTGATGGTATTTTTTCGGTGTAAAGACACTGGTATTGGAAAACTCCTCGTTTGTTACTAAATTAAAACTTTCGGTTGACAAACTAGGGAAATGTATTTTCAAACAATAAGTATGTAGCAGATCAATAACAAATACAAGATATTCGAATTCGAAATCCATTTAGTTTTTTGTTTATTTACATGATTTATAAACAATAGAAAATATTCAAACTGTTGGCAAAAATTCTGAATACACTAGTTATAAAAAACATTTTTACATGTAAGATATCAGATCAAATTAACATATGGACTATGGTTGTTAAAAGGCTCATCTTATTACGAAGCGGGAACGCCAAAATGGGAAGGTATGGAAGCATGAAATTATAACCCGAAATATCAAGAGTTTCGCACAATTTATATTTAAGGATTTAAGCCAAAGACTCATTGCTTTGTTTGCTGAATCATACCATGAAAGTGTTTTAGGAGTTTAGGAAACAACGCCTGAGAGGAATGAAGCAGCTACAATGCATTGAGTCTTGGGCTTAAATTCTTTTCACACATTGCAATTTTTTTACAAAATCATCCGAAAGGGACGAAATCACTAAAAGAACACATTTTCAATGAATTTTTTGCAAGGGTCAAGTGGGCAAGTCATCAATTCCAATGTGAAAAGTCCATTCATCACCACGACAACTGTTTAACTAGTGACCTTGCATGTGTTATTGATCTTTCACACAATGTTCATTATATGAATACTCTGTTCAGATTGGCTGGAATCGGACACACCTTGCCTAGCTATGTGTGGATATAAATTCAAAGCAGCTCAATCTTGGACATACAAAGTCATGTAATAATCAATCCAATGCATTTGGCCAAATTAATCATTTTTCTGCAAGAATTTTGTTGGAAGCCAGAGTTCTACTCCAATACAAAATTATAGAACGGTGTACACTCCGTAAGATCATTCTTATTTTATCACATTAAATGAAGGTTTCTAAAAAGTATCCGGAATAGTCTTAATAGTGATGGACACATTTGCTATTTTAAAATTGTGCTTTCCTTTATTTAAGAATATTCCCAAAAATTGTGAAGGAACCGGGGCTGGTTAGGACCCGAAGTGGGTCATTTGAGTCAGATACCCTTTTGAGTAACGTTTTTAAATAAACAAAAGTAGATGCACACCTTTGCAATAATAGTTGTTGTATCAGTATTTTGACTATCCCGGATATTCATAAGAAGCCTTCGTTAGTGAACCGTCATAATATAATCTTTCAGAGTTTGGAACGTCTCTGTCGTTTTCAATAACTTTGAAGTAGATAATAACTAAAATGAGAAAAACCAAGAATTCGCGACTGAAGCCATCATCTATGGATTGTGGTGTTTTCCCCTCACTTATCATAACTAGCTTCCAATAAAATCCCAGCAGATGAGTGAATGATTTGGATCGCGCATGGGATGGTTTATTTTGTAAGCGGCTTTCGAATTCAAAAAATAGTTGTGCGAAATTCTTGATATTAACAGTTAATAGAATGGAACGAATAACTTGGATATAAACTGGATCTTTTCGACGTTTAATTACAAATACACTCCCCTCCATAAGCTTGGCAACCTTAGCTCCCCCATTGGACTACGTGGTTAAGCCTCTTTACGTTTGAATTTTTATTTACTTAACTGGCGATGAAGTAGCTTATACTTTTGATGAAAACGTAACTTGACTTTATTTCCAATACCTCCAAATTTTCACAATTTTTTGCCTCAATTACAATAGGTCGAAAATTGATGATAAATTTGATGAATCGTCATTCCCATGTAATCCAATGGGAAATTGAGGGTTCGGGGCAAATCAGAAATCAGAAAATTGCATTGTCTAACTTTTTTGTACACTAAGTGTTTAGTTTATTTGATGAATATTAAAGTTACAGCGTTTCAAAGTCATTTTTGGAAATAATGTGTCGCCTCTTGTGTTATTTCAACGGGAGAGTTTTTTTGAAAAACAATTTTTACTTTACAGCCCTATAACTTTGTTGAACCTAAAGAAACATTTCAATTTTTTGTTAAATAAAGTTAGCAAATTCAATTGCCTGCCTTACTCGTATTTTTTGCAAGGACTCGGATGGATGGACAGTCTGTCATATAACATGCGGCAAACCTACCACTTCCCATTGGCTAACATGGGAATGTCGATTTTCAAAAATACATCAAATTTATCATCAAAAAATTTGGAGGTATTGGAAATGAAGTCAAATTACGTTTCCATCAATAGTATTAGTATTTTCATCGCAGGTTAAGTAAATAAAAATTCAAAGGTAAAGAGGCTTGAACACGTAGTTCAATAGGGGAGCTAAGGCTGCCAAACTTATGGAGGGGAGTGTATATTCCAAAGTAGTTATAAATCATAACTACTGGAATCAAAAGAACACACACGTACCCAGTCCAAACTTTTTAAAAGTCAACTCAATCAATAGTCAGATGGCGCTAAATGCTGTTATAGTAATCACAAAAGCATATATGGAGAATCCTGACCGCCGGCCATTTGTGAATATATTAACTGATGTTAACATCACCTAGCTTTGAAAACAAACAGTGCCTTTGAATGTACTGGCACAATGCTACTAAAAGTCAGCAGTCTATAATGGGAATGCATTCGAGTTTGAATTTAAAACATAATATGATTATCCTTTTTTTCTCCATACCAAAGATTAGGAAGTATATCAGTCTTAACAGTGTACTGTTCATCAGAGGTTTGGATGCATTTTGGAACGCATTTCAACGCAGCAAATCCAACCTTCTTCAACCAGCACGATACGTTAGAGCCACATTCCGACACCCACTGTTCTATTTCACCGATAGATGTCCCCAGACACTGCGCCATGCATTTCTCGAATCTGCTCGAGCCGACTTTTTTGATTCCCAATAGAGCCCGTTGATCCTCTTCGCTAGTTGTGCTCGCTATTTCGAGTTCAACCTGGACTGATGATATCTCCATCTTGATGCATCGAGGTACACATTTCAAAGCAGAAAACCCGAGCTTTTTCAACCAGCAGTTGACATCTGTGCCACACTCTGCAATCCAGCGTTCGATTTCGGCCACGGACTTGCCGACACATTTAGCCAGACAATCTGCGAACCTGTTGTTCGGTGACGTAACAAATGGCGCGATTGCACTGTCCTTGGCAGATTCTTGAATTCTAGTGATTTGTTGAGGATTGATGTTTTTGTCACCGAGTCCACATTTTGTAAGACATTCCGCCGCGGCGAATCCAATTTTCTGAATCCAGCACGACCAATTGATGTTGCATTCAACGATCCACTTCTGAATCTGTTCAAGACTTTTCGAAGCGCAATCAGCCATACATTGTCCAAAGCCATTTGATTTAATATCTTCTGACGTCACAAACATTAGGTCGGTTTGAATCAACGTTACTTGGACGGTGATGCATTTCGGTACGCATTTCAACGCTGCGAATCCAGCCTTTTTCAACCAACAGTTAACATCAGTACCACACTCAGAGATCCATTTCTCGATGTCATCGATACTCTTTCCCATACATTTGGCCATGCAATTGGCGAAACGATCGTTTGAAGGGACGTCTACGACTGGCGCCAAATCGGCGTATGATATTTCTAATTCCGTTGCTGAAATGAAACAGTGAATTAAAATCATGTTTTCAACAAACGACTGAAATAAGCGTTTATTTGTTGTTTTGCTAAATGAATTACTAGTTCTTGCATATTAATTGTCAACACACAGTATGTAACCATAGAAGCACGTGTCACCATCATGTTGTATGTTCAAATAGCGTTAGAAATATATCAACATTAAAAGGTATCCCTCTCAGATGATATCAATAGTAGGCCTTTATGAAGTTCTACAAATACATTTTACAAACAATAAATATGATAGAATAGCACCATACCTTCAGGATGGGAAATCTCATCAAATTTCAGACATTTGGGGACACATTTCAATGCTTTGAGACCGACTTTCTTTGCCCAACATTTTGCATTCTTTCCGCATTGCTTGACCCACTTCTCTATATCAGCGACGGATTTCCCGAGACAACTGGCCATACATTTCACAAACGGTGCAACTGTGAATGCGTCATCTAACGCGAATGGCGTGGCGTCCACTGTATCCAGGTCGTGTCCTTGGTCATTTGTATGTTCTGCACAAAATATTTAGACACATATTTTAAGATACTTCCATATGTACATGTTTAACCTCATCAAATTATCTGTGTGGTAACATTAGAAAATTGAAGTATAAAGAAATAAAACCAAGAAAATAGACCTTTCCAATAAATCTTGACCCCTATTTGTGAAAACGGAAACTAGGGTATAATGGCTAGAAATTGAAAGAAGTTTTTGAAAATTAGCAATATTTTAATCCTATTTCTGCACTGAAATTGTAAGAATGACATCATAACCAATAGATGGCATGATTTACTGGATTGGTCTATTCTATGATGTAATGAATATGAAATTCTACGTACATATTTTACATACAGTAACTACGAAACAAAAGGACCATATATATACATACCTACAGCGGGGAAGACCTCATCTAATTTCAGGCATTTTGGGACACATTTTAATGCCTTGAGACCGACTTTCTTTGCCCAACATTTTGCACTCTTTCCGCATTGCTTGACCCACTTCTCTATATCAGCGACAGATTTCCCGAGACAACTGGCCATGCATTTCACAAACGGTGCAACTGCGAGTGCGTCGTCTAGCCCGTGTTGTTCTTGGCGTTCCGTAGATTCTGTAAATAAAACAATATGGGGACATATACATGTATTTGGAATTTCATGTCCAAAACATTCAAAATAATCGTGTCGTTATACAAAACCCACATTGTAGAAGCTAAAATGTAAAATCATAAATAAAATAATGTGGTTGTTTGGTTGACGCTGATTGTAAATGAATAAACACAAGGAGCACACGTGTCTCGAACTCTCAACCTCGTGGTTACGGCCCCCAATCGCCTAGACTGAACGTGCTGATTGTAAATTAGATATGTGTAGGTTATTGAGCCAAACATATTTTTCGTTTGCATCAGAGGATCGCTTGTCTACGCAAGCCCTTCTGGACATTGTGCAAAAAGCGAGACATACTATTGTCATGTCACCACCAAAACGTGGTGACATATTGTTATGGTCTCAGTTTTTTGTGGCGGCGGTTGCCGATCGGCGTCTGTAACAAATTCTTAAGTCTGTAACTAATTCTTAAAACGTCCAATAATTTAACAAATACTGTTTAGACTGACTTCAGTTTTTTTCAAAATCATCTACAAGTTATCAGAAATTCAAATCTGACTTTAGATTTTACATTTGACCTTCCTTGATCTTCTCAAGGTCTAAAAAGGTGTTTTTTAACTTGCTTCAAATTGACCTTTTTTCAGAATCATCTACACGTTATCAGAAGTTCAAATCTGACTATAGATTTAACCTCCAATGACATTCTCAAGGTCAAAAAAAGATTTTACCTTCAATGAATGACCTTCTCAAGGAACAAAAGAGTATTTTTGAATTTGCTTCAAATTGACTTATTTTTTTTCAAAATCATGTACAAGTTCTCAGAAATTCAAATTTAAGATTGAACTAATAATATTGTTAGCAACTAAGTAGTGACATTTTGTCATGTTAATGCATTGTACTTCTTTTTGACATTTCCTCACAGTGTTAGTCAAAACATATTTTTCTGTTTTTTGCGACGCGGTTGCTTTTGCATCATCCATTTTTTCTCTTTTAATAACTTCGAATTCATTTCAATATGCATGACGTCATTTATTTAAACACACTGATTGTCAAGAGCAGTGGGCGTTTACACGGTGTATAACCCAAACGCTCCGACATGCACGACGGAGCGTTTCATTACTGAAATTAAACAAAGAAACGCTCCTGAGTAGGAAAACTGGATAGCGGGAATGATGAGCCGTCTGACGATTTCCCCAATAATGGGAATAAGAGGTATGAGTTACATATTTCGAGTATACCATTCGATGGGTGTGATATTCATGTTGTACTTGGCTGGCTGTTGACGTTTGAAGCAATTAGGAAGAGCTGTACGAAGCAGTATAGTTATGAAAATTCAAAAACGTATTTGTCATTCTACCGGTCAAAACCCCTTTATATCGATACATGTGATTAGTTGAGCCAAGATTAGAGCACCAACGTATATTTTAGTCAAATTCCAATGCTTCAACGCAAATTACATTATCGTAATAGTGATTTGATGACCGAAAATCCAGTCTTAAGAATGATGACATTCTCATATTCAAGAAACGCTCCGACCTGTTTAACACAGTGAACTGGAAACGCTCCGGTAGTGTAGATCAGATTAGGAAATATATAGCTTGCCTTTCCTTTATAGGAAGAGAAAGAAAAGATCTATTATACCCCTTGGCATCAAAAGAAGAAAGATTAATTCACATATAAAGTTTCGTTTTTTCTATAGTTTTATGATTTAGCACACATGTAGGCATGACATCATATAATGTAGGCTTAGATCAGCTAGTTGCACGTTTAGCACCACCAGGTTCAGATGTTTCAATTTGCCTGACAAGTACAACACGTTTTTGAGAGATAGATTTGATTCGGAACTCTTCTCTAATAATCTGAAAATGATATCAAAACAAAATGGTAAGAGCGTTTCTAAAATTGTGTTCTAAATCGACGGAGCGTTTCGAGGAAAACAAGCGATTTCTCGAGAACAAGTAATGGATTTGGACTGGGATTTTAGAAAATGAGAATATACGAGTTTGTGATCTACTACTTTAACAGAAAGATTAACGTTTTCATAGAAATACTAGTTTAATTCGTAATTTGTGGTCAAATTGTCATCTTCAGATTCGTTCGATCTACACTACGGAGCTTTGATCAAGCAAATAACAGTTTACCACCAGAAGTTGAATAAATAAGATCTTTGCCCACGGTATTGTTCATCGAATGGTACATAATATTTCACCATAACATATGATATGTAAGAGAAACGAGAGAAACAATACTTACGGTCATAGTGGAATCTTCATTAGCCGCCATTTTATTTCGCTCCGGAGCGTTTCCGCGTAAATGAAACGCTCCGTCGTGCATGTAGGAGCGTTTGGGTTATTCACCGTGGTTTACAATAGCTCATCAACGTTTGAGCTAATCAGATCAACAAATCAAAACGAAAGTTAAGTTATAATGTTTCGCATCTTGGCACAATGGACAGACCAAAACGAAAGAAGGAAGTAACTCTTAGAGTTATGACTCTGCAGTCTTGAGGAAACTTGTATTTCCCGTTACAACGGATGTAATGAAGAAGTATATTACATATTGTATGTACTCAAACTGCCAAAACAGCTCCAAATGTGTTTATATCCAAGGAGCAAACTGCATCTCGTGAAATGAACAAAAATAAAATCGTATATCAATGTGACACTTAACTAAAATAACTGTATTGGTACACCGAGCTGTTTCAAAACGTTTATGTACATTATAACTTACAACCCCAAATCAATATTGCAACTCTTACGTTTGCATAACGCTTCAAAACTTTTATGTACATTGTAAGTTACAACCCCTAAATCAATTTGACAATTCTTACGTTTGAATAACGCTTCAAAACTTTTATGTAAATTGTAAGTTACAACCCCTAAATCAATTTGGCAACTCTTACGTTTGAATAACGCTGCAAAACTTTTATGTACATTGTAAGCTGCAAACCCCAAATCAATTTTGCAATTCTTACCTTTGAATAACGCTTCGAAACGTTTATGTACATTGTAACGTACAACCCCAAAACAATATGGCAACTCTTACGTTTGAATAACGCTTCAAAACGTTTATGTACATTGTAAGTTACAACCCCTAAATCAATTTGGCAATTTTTACGTTTGAATAACGCTTCAAAACGTTTATGTAAATTGTAAGTTACAACCCCCAAATCAATTTGGCAATTCTTACGTTTGAATAACGCTTCAAAACTTTTATGTACATTGTAAGTTACAACCCCTAAATCAATTTGGCAATTCTTACGTTTGAATAACTCTTCAAAACTTTTATGTACATTGTAAGTTACAACCCCAAAATCAATTTGGCAATTCTTACGTTTGAATAACGCTTCAAAACCTTTATGTACATTGTAAGCTACGACCTCTAAATCAATTTGGCAACGCTTAGGCTTGGATAACAAGTTAAACCCCGTTTTACACTTCATTCAAATAGGTCAAAATGAGAAAGAAATCGCCAAGCATTTAAAGGCCTTAATAAAACAAGGTGGGGAGGGGAGTTGATTTCAGACTTTCATGGGGGGGTTACTTTAAGGTGTCTCAACTATCCTATCCTACACTATACTATACTATCCTATCCTATTCTATACTGTTTCTAATTGACTAAAAACTCGTTTTTGTAAGATCTGTTGTTAACAGTTTATTTCATTCGATTATCGTTTGTAGTTTAAAAAATGGGTTATTCTTCCAAAACATCGTCAATCATATGAACACAACAGTTTATCAAACGCATTGGAATTTACCTAAGCCCCCGATTAATCTTTTATGATAGTACTTCTAGGTTGTCATGTTTTTTTGTATGATCCCAGGGTGTGTGCTGATATCAGATTGGTTAACAAGTGATTTAATGCTCGACTGGCTAATAATTGGTCAAATAGTTTAGTTCGTGATTTATTCTATTAAGGGGAATGTTGTGTGCTTCTCCCCAACAACGAAGTTTCAAAAGGTAAAAGTAATTTTCATTTTTTGAAACTAACATTTTCATAAATAATCACGATGGGCCTTGGAACTACATGTATAGAGGTCTGGAACTTAAACCTAAATATTTTTTACACACACAGTACAAGTTCATACAATTATGTGAAAAGTCACATTTCGCAAATAAAGTCATGAAATATTAATAATACGATGTCTATTAATCATGAAAATTTAATTCGAAATTGAAGCGCGTTGAAGTTAACTTACCTTCAAGTTCCATAAATTCTACTTCAAACGACACACATTTTGGAACGCATTTTAGGGCGGCGAATCCAACTTTTTTGCCCCAGCATTTCGGGTCCCTTCCGCATTCTGCCATCCATTTCTCAATGTCTGCGACGGATTTCCCGAGACATCTTGCCATACAGTTCACAAAATCATTCCCAGTTTCGTCAACATCAGTAGTAGGATAAGCAACTACAGAATTGACATCAAAATTAGTTTGTAATCGAATTTAAAGATGGCAGCAATTGTAAAGGCATGTCAAAAAGATTGATCTTCATGCCATCTATATTTAAAAAGTGTTTCTATCACCCTTCAGTCGCAAGAGAATGAACCAATTACCCAAATGCGAGTAGGTAGTTACCAGTTTCACCACCAGGTGGCTGATTCGGGTCAATTAACATGGCAGCTATAAGAAGGTTAAACTTGAATATTATCAATTTAAGTGGCTCAATTTTCATATAACCCTTATGTGTCTGATACTTATACTAATGAAAATATGTCCAGTAAAGCAAAATATTATCTGTCCACTAAAAGAAAAGATATTTCATTTTTTGTGATTTTATAGCATGGGGTCTATGGGGAATCTCCCCGAGCTAGAAGTCACATTCTCAAAGAAAATTAACTTTTCAAAGTTGAAATACACTTTTTAAAACCACATGACTAGATGTAATTTTACATGTAGATTTCAAATATGATATTACTTTGACTGAATTTTTAATTCTAAATGACGTAAATCAAGATTATTTCTACTCGCATCTGGGTTATTGAACCAAGTAAGATATGTTAGGAAACATATTAAAGGATTTTCAGTAATGTTTTGAAGATATGATTTTTATCCTTGGGCGGATATTGATATTCAATACTCCCATTGAACTAGTACTTGTACATATGGTTGGTAAACGTATGGTTTTATATAGCGCATGCTCAAAACAAAAATATTCAGTTGTTGTAATCGTAGGATTAATTTTCCCGTAAATAGTAATTAAAAGCATAATCAAAGCTAAAAAACTAACAACATAATAAAATGTTTATAACTATTATATCTAATTAAAACTTTTGCACCCCTCAAAATTTATCAGAGTGATACTGAGTTAATGGAATGACAATTAAACATATCGCAACGTCTCGCCCAAGAATAAGCTCATTTGTTTTGACTAATAAAAGCCAATGTACGAATCTAATGTTTTGCTCTTACCCGTGCATCCGATTACAAGAATAGCAACAATGCCAGTCAGCATCATGCCAGATCTGCACATATTCTTCTTCGAGAGTTACTGTAGAACCGAAATGCAGATGATCTTTGTCCTCTTCAATACAGCTTGGCTCAGAAGTTTCCAAAATTCTCTCTTTTCAGTCTATCTCGAGAATCGTTTACTCTTCGGGCTTGGACCATATGACAAACTGAATGCCTCAAATTTCCAACATCGGCATTTATACAGCCGCAGAGACAATCAAAACGAAAGTAAAGGAAATGAAACTAATTCTCTTGAACGCTATTCATCCAGGGTCGAAAATTTCCAGCAACTTCCTTGTTAAAAGATGATATCACTTTTCACCACAATACTTGTTGATGCATGTTTACTTTGAGTCACAAGCATATCTCGCACAAGGAAGTTATGGATTTAATTACAAAATTGACATGTGGCATTGTTTTTACTTTTACAATGATTATTTTAATAAAAATACTATATAGTGCTCAATTTTAGCATACTGAATACACTCTCCGTGCGATTTCTAAGTGCAGTTTCTTCCCCTCAAAAAGTAGGATATATAAATATTTTATAATAATGGCCATTTGTTTCTACAGCTTTATGCTCTGTGTAACTATCATCATCCATAGTGGCCATCCTGAACTATTTTTCGTTCTGAATAAAAATTCATATAAAAGTGAATCTAATGTCTTTCGATTGAAAAAAAGTTAAAGTAAAAAGTAAAAGCAAAGTACACGAAATTGTTCAATTTGAAACTTATCATATTGTTGAGACCGACTTGATACAATACGATACTAGTACGATGCAATGTAAAAATGCAATGCGAAAATGGTCACTTAGGCAGAGAAAAATGAAGTTTTGAAACTTGACTTTTTATTTGATTGCGTGCCGAAGCCTGTACATTTTTTGATATTTTACTCAATAATAGGAATTCATGAAAAACTTTATGGACAATCATAACAGGCTATAGAAAATGATTCAATACAGGATGTCCAATTGTTTAACTTTAGAGGGATTTTACAAAACGTACAATTTGCAAATTGTAGTCTTTTAAGACTATATCAGACACCTGTTAAAGGTCTTTCGATACTATATCAATTATTTCCCAGATTAGTCAGATTAGTCTCCTACAAGTTTCATAAAGTTTGAATCTCACACCCACACAATTTATCAGACAGGTAAACTTCATTATAAAATGCATCTGAGGTCATCGTAGGTTCGAATGTTTGTTAAACACGACATCTAGGCATATTGTTAAACCAGTGTATTGTTACACTAAATACATTGATGGATCAAAATGACACGTCGGTTTTTTTTAAAGATTGAAAAGGTCTTAATCGACTGGGGTGATTTTTTGATTCTTTAGTAAACAGATCAACTACCTTATTAAGAATATTAAATAATGTTTTACGTAAAATGAAACAAAACGAAATGAGCAAAAATACATCTTATATGAATGAATTAATAAATGAAACACAATTAAATAAACAAAAAAAGCTAACAATTGAATTAATAATTATATTGCATATAGTTATTTCAACATTATAATTCGATAATAAGGAACGCGAACTGTAAGGTCTAACCAATCTCAGTAATTGTTTTCAAAATGCTCCAAAACATTTCAAACATTTCAACATTTAGCTATGTTTGGATATGTCACTGTATATGTAGAACATTTACTATATAGCCTATGATTTTGAGGAATATATGATTTTCATTTACAAGGTGATATATTTATATCTGCACTATTTAAGCGATCTATTCCGATTTCACTTGATTACAATATTCCAGGCAACTTGATCGTGTGTTTTTGATAAATTGTCACTATCAGAGACATGTGGTAATTTCAAGTAGAGGATATAAAATGAAATAAAGTTCATTTTCGTTTTCGTTTTCGATTTGAAATAGTTCATCCACCCACGATTGTCAATATGATTATAACACTCGTGACACATTGTAATTGAAAATACCAATAAGGTCAGAGTGATCAGTTAAATGATACCATACGTTCATTCGATCCGTTCCAATAGAAAGTTAAATGCTAGTGTTATGATGCTTGTAGAAATATGGTAAAAATAGCGGTGTGTACCACATGAAAATCAACCGTAGCCAGATTTTACCAAGGAGTATGTGTGTGTGTGGGGGGGGGGGGTTAAGGTTTTCAAAATTCCAGGGGGTCAAATTACAAGTTTTGACCAAAATCACTTGGAAATTGCTAAAAAATGGGTTTGGTTATGCCGGGGAGGGGGTTACGGACCTCCGTCAGTTCTCTTTATTACAAAATCTCTGTTTTAATTAAATTGTTACAGAGGCAATTAAGAGTAGTGGAAGGGATAATCTGAAGCAAGTCTTTCGGAAAAGAACGAATATGTCCAACTCACAACCTTAATTTAATATTTTCTGAAAAGATATCTAAAAAAGATAAAAAGTGGAAGATCTGAAGATTTAAGATACAGAAATGACAAAATTAATTACATTTTAAAGGGGGGGGGGGGTCGTTTTGGCAGATATATTTGAAACGATGAATATTCCTGAAATAAAGTCAAAATTATTGATTATACATAGAGTATGCATGATCAAACAATATTGTTGAACTGGGAAATTATATCATCCTTACATTAACATATACTGGCTTTTCTCTAATATTCCAATCAATGTCAACACTTATAGGAATTATTATTTCAGGATATAAAGATACAACACGAGAAAACAATCTAAAATATTCAATGGTTCGTTATATTTGCAATTGGCCGTCCCAAGGAGGAGGGGGGGGGGGTGTGAATGTAGAAAAGTAAAACTAAAAAAGGAATGCAGTCACACCCAGTATGATGCACCCCTCTGGGTGCGTCTATGTTGTAGAGATTCAGATTTGGATGTTTTCTGATTTGACGTGACATAACAGCAAACTCTTTACAAAAATTGGTAGTCATAGCAAAGTGTTTTTTATGTTGTTTTTCTTTATAATCAAGTAATTTCATCTTGCTCTTGTGACTTTTTAAGAGGAAACAATGTGGCTGTAGTTAATGTGGTAAAATGTCTGAAACTGTAGATGTCATATGAGAAAAGTTTATTCAGTTAAATCCTTTTACTTACACTTCATACTTACTCTTCTACATTTTTTTGTTTATAATGCTCACTAGATATGAAACAACGTTTATGTTTGATTGACAAGTCGCGTGCACATGGACACACCTATTCTTCAGGGGGGGGGGTCTGTCGGTAATGTACTAAAGGATTCTTGGATAGTGTGACAAAATATCATCAAAACAGGAATATATGTGGGAACAAGTATGAATGAGGAAACAAGTAACCTAAAGGCCACATTGACATATTCAACTTCTGCGAATAACTCAGAAAACTTATTTTCAAGTGAACAAAAGTGAGTCATCTTGTCAAGTAGTTCTCTTGTTTACGTTACTAACCAACTTATCTTGATCATCCATACAATAAATCCCTTGCAATGTGCTAAAGACAAGAATTATCATATGGGATGGTGATTCTCTGTCTAGTCGGTCATCCCATGGGCTTTCAATTAGTTGAAAGCCCATGGTCATTCATAATATTTAAAGCTTGAACCATGAACACTTCACTCATAATTCAACTAGTTGCATTATCAAACTTGAGTGCAAAAATCAAGTTTGATGCATTAAATATTTTGCGCAACAAATCCCATACTGTTACTATAAGACGCTAATTTCATTGTTAGACATTTTCGGGGATGTAACTCCATACCCCCTTTGTTGCTCGTTTGCTCGCAGTGTTTCAAACCCCCAAAACCGCACCCCTGGACAATTACTCGCTTCCCCCAGGCGTGAATCTGGGGACCAACAAGGGGGGGGGGCAATTTATATTAAAGGTCTGATAAAAAATGTTGGGCTTCTAATTTTGGGCTTCGCCAGTGACGCCGCTTGATCTTTACACTGAAATATTTCATTGGTCAAAATTATTTTGACCAATGATTCAATTGTAAATGAATGATTACATACAGGCCGTTTTCAAGCGTGTGGAAAACACTTTCTTCCCTATTAGACCCTGCTATCTAGAACCTCCAGTATCACATACATAAAACCGAATGGTACTCATTACAAGTAGTGAATAAACATGTAGTAGCGTTAGTGTAGAAAGAACATCAATGTATTATCGTCTTCAAAGGAGGATTGGCTCCCAGGATAGAAACTCATATTTTCGAACAATGAAAACTTCGAAATGTCGTTAATTTCAAAAGATTCGAACAAATTTTCCGTTAAGATATAAGTAAAAAATTCACGATTCAAATGTTAAAGTGAACAAAGTGGTGGCTGTTTGAATTCTAATTTTGAATCACGACATGCTCATAAAATGGGACAGAATATCGGTGTTGCACTCTGGGAGCCAATCCTCCTTGTTAGTCTTCTCAACTAAAATATAAGGGAAACCCGACATCTATACATCGAGCAGCTATTTTGTGATTCTATTTTTCTAAACTTGGATTGGTTATCATATTTGAGTTCCAATCCCTCGTCAAAAGTGGCCATGTCTTAAGATCCTTATCTACCAAATAATTACTAATGCCTGCAAAGTATTCGCTTTTGATAATTAATAAAAAGGTAATTATTAGGCCATATATATAATTTTGGCACTTATTTATTCCTATATCCCTAGGAGTAGCTCTAAGAAAAATCAGGGGGGTCCCTTCGGAACTCTTATCATCAGATAACAGTGTGTTACACCAATACTATATTTGCACAGACAAATATCATTTTAATCCTTCTTATTATTCTATATTTATTTCTTCATAAACATACATTTGTTTAGTCCTATATAGACTTAGTTTTGCGATACATTTACAACTAAGCGAAAGTCGACCAAAACATTTTTACAATAGTCCAAAATCTATAAAAAACGACTTGACAAATCATTAATAATACTATTTTAGTTTATTACACAGTGTCACTCCTATAATGGGAGGTGATCTAGCAATTGCGAAGTATTGCTTTACTGTGATCAAATTGGTCGGCAAGTGCATGATATTGCATACATATGCATGAATAGACGTGGCCAAATAGGAAAGTTGGTGCTGTAAAACCTACGATGGAAATAGTGAATGCTTCCTAACAATCAGAAATAGATTGTAGAGGTTTGTACTTTACCTAAACATTTTATGATACACAATGAATTTTGAAATACACATTTTGTATATAAAACCATTAACATAATGATTATACTGTATATATATTGCAGTCTCTGCGTTGTCTGAAAGACATTCATTTTTATTCAAATTATATACACACTCGGGGATAATGTATCAAATAGAGTTCATGAATATAATCGCCTCCCATTAACCACCCTTTGTCCTGATTAAAGAATACATTATGCATCCATAATTTTGTATAAGGGACATTTTAACGGTATAAAAATGTAAATGTTATACACGCTCATTGATATATATCTTAATTAGGATTTGTATGAATGTAATCGCCTCTCAATCACCTCCACATGTCCTGATCAAGGATTACATTAATAGGCATATGGGGGTTAACACAATGACTAATGGCCATTTTCGTGACATTCGCGTGCCTGGTATAGCTAGAACGAAAGTCAAGTTTTTTTGTTTGTTTTTTTGGTTTTTTATTACTTTTTTATTCATAGAAAACATTTGAAAGCAGTTACATTAACATATACAATATTCATAATATCATAGAAATCACACAATTTTCCATCATATTCTTTTTTAAGGCATCTAACCACACTAGTCTAATCTAATCTAGTACCCATAATTTCCCACCTTTTTTCTCTGCCTTTTTGCTTATCAATATTACAATAAGATATTACATTTGCTTTAAATCCTTTAAAGGTAGGTCTTAACATCGAGTATTTGCATAGGTACACATATCTTTTAAATATACTCCACATATTTGCCAGGATAATTGTTCTATCATTTATACATACTGGTCCTATTAAAATATTCTGTTTTGTACAAAGTCCTGTCAATTCCTCTGGTAACCAGTTTTTTAATGACTACTATCAGTTCCATTATCACTTTACAGTCATAGAGGAGATGACAAATTGACTCTGGTTCTACTTTACAAAAGATACAGTTTATCTGAAAAAACATACGTTGAAGACAAAATGAACTGGAAATACAAGGAAGAACATCCATTTGAGAAAAGGAAGGCAGAAGGAGAGAAGATGAGAAAGAAGTATCCCGATAGGGTACCCGTAATTGTCGAGAAAGAACCAAAAGCAAGAGTTGCTGACCTCGACAAAAAGAAATATCTTGTACCATCTGATCTTACAATTGGACAATTCTATTTCCTCATTCGTAGACGGATCAATCTTAAACCCGAAGAAGCTTTATTCTTTTTTGTGAACAATGTTATTCCTTCTACCAGTGCTTTGATGAACGCCCTCTATCAGAAGTATCGTGAAGAAGACTCTTTCCTATATATTACCTTTAGTGAAGAGAGTGTGCATGGTGCCTAGATGGAATACAACAGTCAGAGTCAACATTTTAAACAATTAATAGTACAATAACGTCATTTCTAAGGGCAATATAGTGAAATATTGGACCGAGGGCCGAAGGCCCAAGGTCCAATATTTCACTTTATTATATCATTGCTAGAATTTGTGTCCTTTGATTGGCTGATTCAGTACCATGTGATCAAAAATACCAAAACGTATTTCACAGCTCCCTTAATTTTTGAATTATAAAAAACGTATTGCCCGGCGTATTGCCCGCCCGGGAATTCTGAATCGTCCCGTTTCGTCCAGTACAGTTGTGACGTGCATTAAAATGGCAGACGGAAAAAGATTTAAAAGTCTGAATTCCGATGAAAAGAACTACATCTTGAGGGATGTGCATTCTAAAAACACCATAAAATCAACGGAAAAGTCTTGGAACATTTTCAAATGTTATGTGGACGAAAAAGATATCGAAATAGACGTTAAATCTATCGATAAAATCGTTCTGGATGGAACCATTAGAGGATTTTTTCTTGAACTGCGAACGAAGGATGGGGAATATTACAAGAGTGCCAGTTTGCAAAGTATTCGTCATGGACTCAATAGGCACATACAAAGTCTACGCAATGATTATCATCAACGAGGTTAAAACAAATATTATTTATTTCTTTGAAATGCATTTATTGATCGTACTAGCGAATGTCTGCCTTCGGGCTGCGGGCAATACATGCTGCAAAAATCATTGAAAGATGAACAGGTATTGCCCTCCATAGAATGAAATATCTGCTTATTATTGCCACCGTTAACGACCAGGACTGAAACAGCAAGAAAATCGTACGCATTGAACGATATCTAATTTCCCGGGGAAAATTGCCGGTCCAGAATATATTCTAGACCGGTCCAAATGGACCGCCACTCCACTATGGACCGGTCTTCGTATAGAGTGACAAATATTATTTATTGTCAAATAAATATTAGATATATTACATAGCATATTGAATTTTGTTTTAAATATAGATACTTTCGGGCACTTTTTATTTCTGAGTGTTTTGCTTTCCTCAATACTATTATGTATAATATAAAGCACAGTAGTACATCAACGAATAACTTGTGTAAATAGTCAGAAATAGGATTTTCTCAAACCACTGTTTATGCGTATTTATATTTGTAAATTGAAGTTTATTTTGATCGACAATTGTAATGAGTTCATAGTATCATGACATCTATATTATAGTTTGATTACTTACCCGTGAAATTCAATGTACTTACCTGCACACGTGTATTGTAAATGTTTGTTTCCGTCATGCGCGTTGAGCAATTTTAAAAATCACCCTACCCTCCCATCCTTAATTTATTTAAGGAATACAACACAGAGGTAGGTTAATAGTTTTAATGTTATTGTGTGTATCTTCGTATTAATTGTGTTTGCATTTATATAATTATTTAATTAATAAATCGTCTTTTAGCCCAGAACAAAGTTGTTGACTACTTATAGAGAAAAAATAAATTTACATTTGAAGTATGATATGATGTTCTATGTAGAGTACATAATAAAGTATACAAAAATTACAAAAAAACTATAACCGGATGGTGTTTTTAAACCTTTCTTTGAAACTTTTCTCATTTCCCCCAATTTTGCATTGATCAATTACTCAACTATGCATAATGCATATTAGTGTATAATGTTTTGAAACTATTGAACAATATCGTACCTAAAACATAGCAGTGTGGGCTTGATGACCCAGAAAGCAAGATGGCCGCCGAAAAGTTAATCAGTTCTAGAGCTTCTTAGCATGCAACATGTGTAAAAATTTGAAGAACTTCCAAAATGGCCGCCAGAATGCAACATGGCTGCCGAAAAGTTCATCAGCTCTAGAACTTCATAACATGTGTGAACATTTGAAGTAAATCCGTTAACTGGTTTTCCTGGAATCGCGATGACAAGATGTATCTAAAAACTTCCAAGATGGCAGCATGAATGCAAGATGGCTGTCGAAAAGTTAATCAGCTCTAGAACTTCATTATATGTACGAGGGTTGATCCAAAAGTTCCGAACCGTTTGCTCTAAAATTCTTAATACTTTATGAATACTGTTCATATTTGGCCACAACCACCCCATATATATTGGTTTCATTTTGTGTAAAAATAAGCAATAAATTTGACCAGCAACATAGGTGTCTGGTTACCATAGCAACATGACAACAGGGTAGGTGGAGCAAGAGTACGACACAGTTATCCTGGTTTACTCTGTGGCAACTGGAGTCACCGTCAATGGAGCTTATTATTCAAAGGTCAGTTCCAAAACCTTATCACTCATTGATAAAGTTGTAAACTAGATTACTTTTATTAGGTATGCTGATCTATTTTGAGTCAATCAATTAGGTATGACACTTACTCAGTTTAAAAATGTGTACCAGGTACCGAAGAAAGATCTTAAAGATGCTATGAGAAAAAAACGACCAGATCTCCTTGGGAATTTTTACTTTCACCATGATAATGCCCGAGCTCACAGAGGCAATGTTACAACAGAGGCAATACACGAGTGCTTGCAGGCCCAACTACAACCCCATCTGCCATATTCTCCTAATATGGCACCATGTCACTTTCATGTTTCCTGAGGCCAAGAAACCACTGCGTGGTATCCATTTTGATGACGAAGCTGAACGTATCCAACCATTAACTAATAGCGTTTATGCTACAGCTAAAGCTGAACTTCACCATGTATTTCAGGACTAGTTGAAACGCTGTAAGAAATGTGTAGCACATGGGTGTGGTTATTTTGAAGGCGAATGAACTTATAAACTATAATGACCTATTGTATGAGATTTTATGGTGGTGAAACTCCACAAATTTAAATGATCTGAAATAGCTCTTCAATTGCTGAAATTCGGAATAAAGTTTAATTTTTTATTCCAGCTCCACCTTCCCTGTTGTCATGTTGCTATGGTAACCAGACACCTATGTTAATGGCTACCCTTTGCATTCGTTTGACTTCACTTCTTAAAAGAGAGCTTCGTCGTAGTTTAACTAGACTCTGCACGCAGGGTAGTTAATGGCCAGATTAATTGTTTATTTTTACACATAATGACACTACTATATATGGGGTGGTTGTGGCCAAATATGAACAATATTCATAAAATATTAAGATTTTTAGAGCAAACGGTTCGGAACTTTTGGATCAACCCTCGTAACATCTGTGAAAATTTGAAGTAAATCTGTTAGGTGGTTTTCCTTGAATTGCGATGAGGTGTCACTACGTTAATTCATTGAAAAATATTGAAAACATTCACAAAATTCAAGTTCTGTGGTACATATTGCCATTTTGGAACGAACTGGCCCATACAATGACTATATTTATGCGTTCCCCTATACATAACCTTCATCTTGACACTATATTTGACGAAGGGTTTGCGTCTCGATTTTTAAATATCACTACGCCACCGTAGGGACTCATTTTTAGGTAAAATCCCTGCTTCACCTATGAAAATCAACGAATAAAGTAGTTCCAGTTTTCGGAACTATATTCTTGCGATTTTTTCTAATGGTACATTTAGAAAGTACTTACGCTCAGCTTTACATACATACCTCTAATGACCACAGTATATGCACTTAAACCTACTATACACACCATTGAAGTTGGCATGGCTTCGTTTTTAAAGTATTTAAAAACACTGAGGTGGTATTTACCGTAGTAACACCATGACAAGATATATCTAAAAACTTTCAAAATGGCCGCCAGAATGCAAGATGGCTGGCGAAAATTTAATCAGTTACCATGTAACATGTGTGAAAATTTGTAGAAAATCTAGTAAGTGGTTTTCATTGAATCGCGATGACAAGATTTACCTAATAAAAACTTCCAAGATGGCCGCCAGAATGCTAAATGGCCGCCGAAAAGTAAATCAGCTCTAGAACTTCATGCCATGTAACATGTGTGAAAACTTGAAATAAATCCGTTGGGTGGTTTTCCTGGAATTGCGATGGCAAGATTTAATTAAAATCTTCAAAAATGGCCGCCAGAATGTTAGATGGCCGCCCAAAAGTTAATCAGCTCTTGAACTTTTTACCATGTAACTTGTGTGAACATTTGAAGTAAATCCGTCAAGTGGTTTTCCTGGAATCGCGATGATACGAAAGTGAGACGCCGCCCACCCGCCGCTGATGACAATATCGTACCTTTTTTTAGGTACGATAAAGAGCATATTTCCAGAAACCTACCCAGCAGCCCAGTAGGAATTCAGAACACAATTTAAGTTAATCTGTAATTACATTTTTCATTTACATTTCCATAGCATACTACATGTACAATATATATATTGTATATGTATATTTATATAATATATATATATTGTATATGTGGCATGGTATCAATGAAAAATACAAAGTACATTATTCTAGTTTCATCGGGTATTGATATTTTACATTTTCGCATTTATATAACACATCTATGGGGGCTTGATGTCACAATTAATTCAATCTTGGGAACTTTTTTATGTTTTATTATTCAAACCACTATCATCATCATCATCATCATCATCACCAGGTGAGTTCGCATATCCAGGTATGATATACAGGCGTGTAATTAATTTTACTTCATGGGAAGTATTACCATATTCATTTTTTGTGTAGATCAGAAGTGTTTATTTTTGGCCCGCCACATCGTCATTTTAATTATATCGATGTCACCATTTTTATTAAATAGTGTTTATCATAATCCTTATAAATGTAAACAATTTGCAATTTGCAAAAAAATACATAATGTATTTGTAATGAATGAAAAAAAGAATTCTAAATATGCATTACAAGAATGATCAAAGCAACCATGATACGAACATTTTTTAAATAGTTACAGTTAGCTGAATTTTCAATGGTTGGTAGAATGTATGGTCTGTCGTTGACCTTCACTTTCCAGATTCGGAAATTTGATCCATTTCCCCCGCTGAAGTCTAGACCCTTTGGAAAGAAGTCCTGTAGCTTGTTCGCGGTATACCAAAGGTACTCTCCGCTCTCTTCAAGAGCAAATGTGTCTACCCATTGGTGCCCAACATCATCGGTGTATATTTCAGTTCTAGTGGTTAGATTGACCTTAGTGTACGGCACGCTCTGCTCACGCATGTCTTTCGAGATTTCCCATTTATATAGTCCGTTCAGACCAAGTACTCCATAATATAGATTATTGTAGCCTGCTACGAGACCATCGCTTTGCGAAACCTTTACACCAACCTTTCTTATTGCATCACCGTGGTTACCATTTGGATCGTTTGCAATCTTAGTTGATATTGAATATAAACTAAAACCCGCCAATGCACAATAAAAGATGGAGCTGCGGTCAGGTGATAGCGCTATTCCGTCCATTGTTGTTCTTAGGGTGTAGTTTTTATTGTTAATTGTGAATAATATAGCATCTGGTTCATAGCCCATTGATATGTGTTTAATACTGTGTGAACGGTCTGTGTTGTAGTTGTACACAACCATTTTCGCATCTGCTGCATCAGATATGTACGCAAATCCTCCCTTTGGGTCCACTACAATATCATTTAGGAAATTAGAACTCTTTGATACGACCTCCTCGGGAAATATATGCGTTCTAACAATGGACCGTTTCGCAATGTCGATAATGACAAGCTTAGCGGGGCATAGATTTTGTGCGGAGCCTTCCCCGGGCCCCGGGAGTGTATTAATACGTCCTGTGTCTATCGCCCACATCCAACCAGAGACGGGATCGATCTCCATGCTCTGGGTAAACTGAAAACATGAACAGTTCCCAATTTCCTGCATCTTCCAGCTTGGGTATGGCTGTAAAACATTCGCGTTTCCCTTAGTGATGACCTTATTCATGGTTGAAGGAACACCAAGGCGCCATCTAGGGACAGTTACAAAAACGTCACCTTTGTAGAGTTTTAAGCCAGTAAGTGCATTGTTTTCTACAATGAACGTTCCATTGCTTATTGAATCATTTCTTGAAGTTTCGTCTGGCCAGTCATAGTCCAATGAGGCCCACTCATACATCAGGTCAGGTTTTTGAGCAAAAGCAACATTACAGGCGAGCAGCACGAACAAAACAATCATTGTTTAATTGATTTCGTTATATTATGATCTCTTGGCCTATAGGTACTGACGTTTTAAGTGGAGGAAGGCACAGTAAACACGATTGTAAAATTAAACATCCCGTCAACAATCATGTGTGTAAACAGTATAGTACATAAATGTAAACAGTAGAAGTAGAATGAGATAACATGTTTAGAATTTAAGCTATCATAGTACTTAACGGGATATGACAAAACAGTTACATGCTGAAAGTGTTTGACTCATTTAAAATTTATAAATCAAACAAACTGACTGTCTCTGAGACAAAAGAAAGAACCTTTCAATCTGTGACAATGATTAAATTCTAAAATCCTGAATACTATATTTCCATGAAATTCAAAATTCAGAACAGTTGATTTAATTTTATTCCTATGAATGAATATGAGCTCATGACAGTTCAAACCTCATCGTCTTCACTCCCGAACACACTAAAATGACAAGTAGAAAAGGACAAAATCAGATATACTTTGATTCATCCTTTCGTATGTATTTTGCAGTGTTTGTCAACAACTGTGTACTTGGCACTTGAAGCAGAATTTTCTTTGTGATGTAGTATTCCTTTGCAAAAAACACTACCTGACCATTTCTCAAGGTAACATTAACCACTATGTGGCAATGCATACAACATCACAAAGAAGGACGATTTTAACAAACAAGCCCGAAGTTATCGAAACCAAAAATTAATTAATTTTTCTCACTTTTTAAGTAAGAGGGCTGGGTTGATTAACAACTTACGTTTTAATTGTACTTTAGTACGGATATTTGAATTTCACTTTGATACTTATCACAAAAATAGATATCATTTCTACTGGTACGTGCCTTGGTTTTTTCATCATGCATAATTCATTAATTTTCATTAATTAATGTCGAGAAATTATGTACCCTCTGTAAAGAAAAAAGGTGCATGGTCTTTTATCATTCATAACATTTTCAAACTTCTATAGGATATTACTTAACTCTTTGAGGCACGTGGTGTAAATATTGTGAATAACTGGTAGGAAAAAGTTAGATGAAACTTAGCAATGGTTTAACATATTGTCTCACAAACTCACAAAATGTGACTTTTCCCATTAAATTACGTCATAAAGTACAATTTGCTATTATACTGACAGGTTTAAAATAAACATTAACACACTGACAGAAAATTATGGAAGTGCCAAAACCCGCCTAAAACATGATTTAAGACACTTTTACGCCACAAATAGCAGTGAAATTAGTGATAGGATGTAACCATTTTGCTCAATAAACCCATTTATGTATCACATCTGACATAAATTTTGATATGTATAAGCTAAGTATAGGATATATAACATATTTATGGATCATTGAGAAAGATTAAGGGTTACAATTATCTTGCAATTTCCATGTTATTGCAATATGTTACCCCTACCTCTAATTTTGAACTGAGAAGAGACCTCTGAATCTAAAGGATATTTCCTCGGATTTTATAACAAAATGGTTGATATTAATCGGACAATTTAACGTCATGTCTTAGAAGATCCCCTTCTGGAGCATATTGCTGGATTCCTCGAATGTATGGCGTCAATTTATGGTAAAAAGTCACACTCACGATTTTGGGAGTTGTTCTGTTCAATCCTTTCTAACTTTTTACCATATTTACGAAATTCTTTGAAATTTTCTCAATTTGGTGACAGTAGTCATACATTATACCTCTGAAAGTTTGGTATGATAATAACAAAAATAAAAAAGATATGATTGGTAAAATACATTACACCTTTTTTCTTTACAGAGGGTATAAGAATTTCTCAATTTTACACTTTCCTCGATCTTTTTGACAACCATGGTGATTAATTTAATAAAACCTTTTAGCGATGAATTTTGTTGCTTTATTACAACGATTTTTTGCAATTTTGTTAGATACTGCGTCATTATGACCAATTTGTGGCAAATCAACAAATCATAATGTGACCAGTATGTGACAAATCATGTAATGACCAATATGTGACAAATCATAATATGACCAACATGTGACTAGTCATAATGCGACTAAGATTTGAGAAATCATAATGTGACTAACATGCACGGGACAAATCATAATGTTACTAACATGTGAGAAATCATAGTGTTACCAACATATGACAAATCATGATATGACCAACATGTGGCAAATCATAATATGACCAACATGTGACAAATTATAATATGACCTACATGTGACAAATCATAATATGACCAACATGTGACAAATTATAATATGACCAACATGTGACAAATCCTAATATGACCAACATGTGACAAATCCTAATATGACCAACATGTCGAGTTGGCTAAAGGGCTTGAGCATCACATATTCGTGATAGGCGCGTATTGGTGCCGTGACCACGAGGTTGCGAGTTGGAGACGCGTGTGCTCCTTGTGTTGATTCATTAGTGCACTTATCATTCCATGTTATGTATATTTTCTAACAGCTTTGAACTTCTGATTTTATTTCAGGATACTCCTTTAATGTTTTTTCTCAACTTTACATCTCACCACAAGCTACAGTGGCGAATCCAGGAACCAACAGGGGGGGGGGGGGGCAAATTTGAGGTCAGAGAAAAAACCTGGGCCCCTAAAACCGAAAAGTGGGCCCAAATTTTGAAAATTTGAGGCCCATTTTCTTCAAAATTTGGCCTAAAATTAAAAAAATAAGGCCTAAGAAGGCCCAATAATGACCAAAAGGCCCACTTTTTGTGGCCTTAAGGCCTTTTTTGGCCTAAAATTTTTCTGGGCCCAACTTTTTTTTCCTGGCCAACCTTAGGGGGGCCCATGCCCCGGATCCGCCATTAAGCTAGAAAGAGCTGAGATGGCAGACTGCAAGCTTATTGACGAAACCTGGAAGGATTAACATCCACTGCCCATATTCCCATATTGCCCATATTCCTTTTACGCTCTTATTTTATTACCCAAACAGACAGGTTCGACGTGGGGTAAAATAAAGTGCTCCGTCTGTCAATAAGTCGCTCCGTCATTTTGTCATTCTGGTTGTAACTTAAAAGTGGAAGGATGACTGTGTCTGCGTTTGGTTGGAGATTTTCAAAAAATCTATTAACCCCAAACTTGGATCGGATGGAACTTAAATTAAGGGATTTCATCGATACATGCTTTAATCACAGGCTGGTATCGACAGATTTGCTATTTTTCATAAAAACACTGAGAATGCTTCACGATTTATTTTTTAACTCATATGTTTCGTTATATCAAATAAAATTACTTACTCCATGCAATGGATATATCATTTGCGGGTAACCGTCACTTCTGTTTGAAGTCCAATAACGCTAGGAGTAAAAGCTATTGAAAACGGCGCCAGAGTATCAAACTCTAAAATGTACCATTTCTTTTTTAACTTTTTAATGGCATGATATTGTGACACGATAATATTAACATATGTTTTCAGCATAACTCTGGATGTACTGTATTAATGAGATATTAATGCATTGGGTCTTTTTAATTTTTTTTTATAAAAAATAATGTTAATATTCTTTGTCCGCTGTGACGGAGCATTTTCACAGTTCACATTTGCAACTGCTCCGTCACAGCGGACAGAAAAATTAAAAATTATTTTTTATAAAAGAATTAAAAAGACCAAATACATCAACATCTCATCAATACCTTCTTAGTTATGCTGAAACCATGTGTAAATATTATCGTGTCACTATATCGTGCCAATAGAAAGTTAAACAAGAAATGGTACATTTTGAAGTATGATACTCCGGCGCCATTTTCAATAGCTTTTCTTCCCAGCGTAATTAAACTTCAAACAGAAGTGAAAGTTACCCGCAAATGATATATCCATCGCATGGAGTAAGTAATTTTCTATGGTATAACGAAACATATGAGTTAAAAAATAAATCGTGAAGTATTCTTAGTGTTCTTATGAAAAATAGCATGCTCCGTCACAGCGGACAAATATTTCGATACCAGCCCGTGTTAATATGCGCAACGTGTTTTCAACAGTATATATGTTGTGGCATATATATTGAATATAGTACATATCTCTAATTACAGATTCATGAATAATTTGTTCAATTTTTATCGCACTTTGAAAAAGTGCTATATTGTCGTCGTCTTGTGCTGTTGGGCGGGCGGGCGTGCGGGCGGGCGGCACATAAACCAAATCTTGTCATCAAATTTCCAGGATAACTGCTTACCTGTTCAACTTGAAATTTTTACAGATGCAAGAGCAGACTAGTACCAAGATCTGATTAGGTTTGGGTATGCTGGCTGAATTACATGGTGGCTATTTTGAATTTTTCAATTTGGCGGCCATTTTGAATTTTTCAACTTGCTCCAAATTGACCAAATTTTTTTTAAAAACATCTACAAGTTCTCAGAAGTTCAAATCTGACCTTAGATTTCAGATTTGACCTTTCATTCACCTTCAGTGACCTTGAAAAGGTCAAAAAAGTTGATTTTCTAAATTGATATTTTGGATTTTGGCGCCAGAGTATCAAACTCTAAAATGTACCATTTCTTTTTTAACTTTTTAATGGCATGATATTGTGACACGATAATATTAACATATGTTTTTAGCATAACTCTGAATGTATTAATGAGATATTAATGCATTGGGTCTTTTTAATTTTTTTATAAAAAATAATGTAAATATTCTTTGTCCGCTGTGACGGAGCATTTTCACAGTTCACATTTGCAACTGCTCTGTCACAGCGGACAGAAAAATTAAAAATTATTTTTTATAAAAGAATTAAAAAGACAAAATACATCAACATCTCATCTATACCTTCTTAGTTATGCTGAAACCATGTGTAAATATTATCGTGTCACTATATCGTGCCAATAGAAAGTTAAACAAGAAATGGTACATTTTGAAGTATGATACTCCGGCGCCATTTTCAATAGCTTTTCTTCCCAGCGTCATTAAACTTCAAACAGAAGTGAAAGTTACCCGCAAATGATATATCCATCTCATGGAGTAAGTAATTTTCTATGGTATAACGAAACATATGAGTTAAAAAATAAATCGTGAAGTATTCTTAGTGTTCTTATGAAAAATAGCATGCTCCGTCACAGCGGACAAATATTTCGATACCAGCCCGTGTTAATATGCGCAACGTGTTTTCAACAGTATATATGTTGTGGCATATATATTGAATATAGTACATATCTCTAATTACAGATTCATGAATAATTTGTTCAATTTTTATCGCACTTTGAAAAAGTGCTATATTGTCGTCGTCTTGTGCTGTTGGGCGGGCGGGCGTGCGGGCGGGCGGCACATAAACCAAATCTTGTCATCAAATTTCCAGGATAACTGCTTACCTGTTCAACTTGAAATTTTTACAGATGCAAGAGCAGACTAGTACCAAGATCTGATTAGGTTTGGGTATGCTGGCTGAATTACATGGTGGCTATTTTGAATTTTTCAATTTGGCGGCCATTTTGAATTTTTCAACTTGCTCCAAATTGACCAATTTTTTTTTAAAAACATCTACAAGTTCTCAGAAGTTCAAATCTGACCTTAGATTTCAGATTTGACCTTTCATTCACCTTCAGTGACCTTGAAAAGGTCAAAAAAGTTGATTTTCTAAATTGATATTTTGGATTTAAATTTAGGTCAGCTTAATTACAAAACACCTACTGAGGTCTGAAAAAGTGAAATTTTCAAAGTCGAAAGTCAAGGTCATTAAACTAGGTCACAGATTTGACCTTTCATTCACCTTCAGTGACCTTGAAAAGGTCAAAAAGTTGATTTTCTAAATTGATATTTTGGATTTAAATTTAGGTCAGCTTAATCACAAAAGACCTACTGAGGTCTGAAAAAGTGAAATTTTCAAGGTCGAAGGTCAAGGTCATTAAACTAGGTCACAAATGATGTTATCCAAGTTTCTCAAAGTTTGAGACTACAAATCAATTCTTGTCATCAAAATTCCAAGAAAACCGCTAACCTGTTCAACTTGAAATTTTTACACATGCAATAGCAGACTAGTGCCAAGATCTGATTAGGTTTAGGGCATGCTGGGTAAACTACGTGGCGGCCATTTTGAATTATTTCAACAAATCTTGTCATCAAAATTCCAGGAAAACCACTTATCCGTTCAACTTGAAATGTTTACAGATGCAAGAGCAGACTATTGCCAAGATCTGATTAGGTTTTGGGTATGCTGGCTGAATTACATGGTGGCCATTTTGAATTTTTCAATTTGGCGGCCATTTTGAATTTTGAATTTGAAAAGGTCAAAAATTTGATTTTCTAAATTGATATTTTGGATTTAAATTTAGGTCAGCTTAATTACAAAAGACCTACTGAGGTCTGAAAAAGTGAAATTTTCAAGGTCGAAGGTCATCAAATTAGGTCACAAACAATGTTATCTAAATTTTCCCAAAGTTCAAGACTACAAATAAATTCTTGTCATCAAAATTGCAGGAAAACCGCTAACCTTGTCAGCTTGAAATGTTTACAGATGCAAGAGCAGACTAGTGCCAAGATCTGATTAGGTTTTGGCCATGCTGGGTAAATTGCATGGTGGTCAGTTTGCTCTTCAAAGTGCGATATTTATCACTGTGTGTCTTGTTTGTATTCTGTGGAGTTGCCATTTCCTAGTATATTTTATATTCCGTATACCAGCACTAGGAGAGCGAACTCATATAAGTTAGTTAGTTAACAATAGTCGTCACTTCATTTCTGAAAGCATCATTGATACAGGTATGTAGTGAAATAAATTCTAATTTTTACATGCACACAAATATATATTTTACAGATATAAAAAACAATGATATAAAATGCGTATGTGAATAGGAATCATTTCAAGTTATAAACAGTATTTGACTACATTATACAACATTTTATTATACTGGTTTCCACAAAATTATGAAATAATTGTAGGATATCCTATGATTTTGAAGAATATCATTTTTATCTACGAGGGGATAATTTCGTGATATTGATATCTGCCGAGTGAGCAAAGCGAACGGGTATATATCATTATCACCGAGTAGATTAAAATGATATTCTAAAAAACCATAGGATGGTCTTATTATCCTACACTTACTAGTGTACTAAATGTATAATATCATTGAAAAATGAATTTCATGCCAAATATAGTCAATTTGGAGGGAAACCAACAAGCGGAGTATATCGTCACAATATCCTCCACATATTGTTTCCGGAGTATACCGTCACGATATCCTCCGCATAATGATTTTCCGGATGTATATCGTGGCGATATCCTCCGGTCATTCGTTTTGCCAATAGATATCAAATTTATTTTTTAATGTTATTATACATTTAGCATACTAAGTGTAGGATAATGTTGATTATCCTACACTTAGTGTACTAAATGTATAATAACATTAAAAAATAAATTTGATATTTATGGGTAAAATGAATATCCGGAGGATATCGTCACGATATACTCCGGGCGGAGGATATCGTGACGATATACTCCGGAAAACCCAATATGCGGAGGATATTGTGACGATATACTCCGCTTGTTGATTTCCCGCCAAATTGACTCTATTTGGCATGAAATTCATTTTGCAATGATATTATACATTTAGTACACTCCTTGTAAGTGTAGGATAATAAGAACATCCTATGATTTTTTTCAGAATATCATTTTAATCTACTCGGTGATATTGATATATGCACTCGTTCGCTTCGCTCTCTCGTGCAGATATCAATATCACCTCGTAGATAAAAATGATATTCCTCAAAATCATAGGATATCCTATAAATACCTAAGTTTTGCTAATTAATAGTACTGGTCATTAACGGTGGTAATAATACTAATAACCTCATTTCTGCGGGCAATATAGTGAAATATTGGACCTTGGGCCTTCGGCCCTCGGTACAATATTTCACTAAATTGTCCTTCGAAATGACGTTATTGTACTAAAACCAAAATGTTATTTTAAATAAGTCAACAATGTTGGACAAGGTCCTTCAAACACAATTTTTTAAGGATAAAATCTTTACATATCACATTTTGATTGGGTAACAGTTGACTAAAATATAGGCCAAAGTAGTTTCCCGGTGCCTTTAAAAAGGAACAGAATGTTCATTGAGTTTTACATCTAGTACATCTGATACCCTCTATAATTTGTAAAATATTATCACAAATTATTCAATCCAGGCTTATTACAAATTAAAATTTTGAATACGCATGTTTTTTTCGTATAGATAATGAATAATGTTTGTTTTTCAGAATAAAAAAAACAATATGATGAATCTATCCGTACACTTACTCGTTTGTGGATGTCTTGTGGTATCAGTTTGTGCACGAACAGTTGATGTCAACCCTGGTGGTCTGGTTCAACATTTTAATCAAGCTGACGGATCCTCGGTCGCTACTGATACTGATGTCTACTCTGGTGGTCTAGTAAAACATTTTAATCAAGATGACCGATCATCATTCGCTCTTGGCCCAGTCGAAGGTTCTATTGAAGGTTCTAGTGAAGGCTCCTCCTCCGCTGATGGTTCTGCTGAAGGTTCTAGTGAAGGCTCCTCATCCGCTGATGGTTCTTCAGAAGGTTCTAGTGAAGCCTCTTCATCCGCTGATGGTTCTTCAGAAGGTTCCAGCGAAGGCTCCTCATCCGCTGATGGTTCTTCAGAAGGTTCTAGTGAAGGCTCCTCATCCGCTGAAGGTTCTTCAGAAGGTTCTAGTGAAGGCTCCTCGTCCGCTGATGGTTCTGCTGAAGGTTCTAGTGAAGGCTCCTCATCCTCTGATGGTACTTCAGAAGGTTCTAGTGAAGGCTCCTCATCCGCTGGTGGCTCTTCAGAAGGTTCTAGTGAAGGCTCGTCATCCGCTGATGGTTCTTCCGACGGTTCTAGTGAAGGCTCCTCATCCGCTGATGGCTCTTCAGAAGGTTCTAGTGAAGGCTTGTCATCCGCTGATGGTTCTTCCGAAGGTTCTAGTGAAGGCTCTTCATCCGCTGATGGTTCTTCCGAAGGTTCTAGTGAAGGCTCTTCGTCCGCTGATGGTTCTGCTGAAGGTTCTAGTGAAGGCTCTTCATCCGCTGATCGTTCTTCCGAAGGTTCTAGTGAAGGCTCTTCATCCGCTGATGGTTCTGCTGAAGGTTCTAGTGAAGGCTCCTCATCCTCTGATGGTTCTTCTGAAGGTTCTTCTGAAGGTTCTGCATCCGCTGATGGTTCTTCCGAAGGTTCTAGTGAAGGCTCTTCATCCTCTGATGGTTCTTCAGAAGGTGCTAGTGAAGGCTCCTCATCCGCCGATGGTTCTGTTGAAGGTTCTAGTGAAGGCTCCTCGTCCGCTGATGGTTCTTCTGAAGGTTCTAGTGAAGGCTCGTCATCCACCGATGGTTCTTCTGAAGGTTCTAATGAAGGCTCCTCGTCCGCTGATGGTTCTTCCGAAGGTTCTAGTGAAGGCTCTTCATCCGCTGATGGTTCTTCCGAAGGTTCTAGTGAAGGCTCTTCATCCGCTGATGGTTCTTCCGAAGGTTCTAGTGAAGGCTCTTCATCCGCTGATGGTTCTGCTGATGGTAGAATCGAACGCTGAATCGAACATGGGGAAGGGGTACAATATATTACATATCATATTACCCACATAATGTTGCTTTTCATTTTTGTCTACATGATATCCGAGAAGTCCTTCAGCACATTAAACTAGGCTCGGTGGAGCAACTCCACAAGAGTTTCCACTCCTGAATTCTACAAAGAAATGCCATCTACCGTTTGTAACATAACCCTGTAAATCCTTGTGAGTTTTACTTTCAGGGAGCATCATTTAATCAATCACAAGATGATATAGTTGTCATTAATAAGATCACCCAGGTATGCCTGCGAAGGAATAGACGCCACATATTATGATTGCCATAGGTGCATAAAGTTGATATGGTCATCTGAATCTTCTTGTGGAGTTGTGTCTACTTTTTATGAGCTAAAGACCAAGGCTGCGTTTTTGAACTGCCCACGGTCGAGAGCACTGCATAATTTATAGTAATAATATTTCCCCTAGATATCACGAAAAAGAAAATGAGCTCATGCTTACACGTTTTTAACAAAAGCAGTTCATCAAGTACACTTAAACCGGTAATTACGCTGTGGCAACCTTTTCCAGAAGTACTCAAACGTAAAACCGATTTTTCAAACTGGCTTTTAACGTACTACAGAAGCCGACTTCAGCAGTCAACAAGAAATCGGCTTTTAAAAGCCGGCTTGTTAAGTACAACAGAAGCCGGCTTCTGGAGTCACCGAGAAGCCGGCTTTTACAAACTGGCTTCTTACGATATTACTACAGAAGCCGGTTTCTAGAGTCAACAAGGAATCACCAAGAAACAATACATAAAATCTTAACATGATTCTATTTTTTGCAAACAAGTTATTTTATACCAAAACTATAAAGGTAAATTGTATTCTTCGCATAACTATCGATGAATAAGATCACATTGATCAATTTAGAATACATTATTCTTCATATTTCCGTTTAATAAAAACGCACCGCGCATTTTTCAAAACTGGCTCTAAGTTGGAGCCAGTTTACAAATCGGTGCGCCCCGTTTAACATAAGCTATTTAGGGGCGATCTAGCGACTGGAAATGATGGAATACTGGCTCCCGATCATTTTGATGTGCATTATGCATCTTATTCTCGTACAACTTTTATGAAAATGAGAAAAAATGAAAAATATATAAAATCTTAACATAATTGTAGTTTTTTTGCAGAAAGTTATGTCATACCAAAATCATTGAAGGCAAATTACATTCTAAGCATAAATATCGATGAATAGGATCACGTTCATCAATTTACAATATATTATGCATCATTATTTCCGTTTAATAAAAACGCACCGCACATTTTTCAGTATCAGCTCGCTACATTTAACACAAGATATATAAGGACAATCTAGCAACTGGGAAAGGTGCGTTTTTATTAAACAGAAATACAATGAATAATCTGTTCTGAATTGATGAACGTGATCCGATTCATCATTATTCATGCTTTTAATTCTATCTACACTTATAATTTTGGCTTATAATGACGTTTTGCAGAAAATCTTGAAATATGTTAAGATTTTACATATTTTTCAGTTTTTTAAATTTTCATGCAAATAATAAGAGAATAAGATGCATAAAATATCTTATTTTATTTTATTAAAATTATAATTCAAGAAGAATAAGATGCATCAAAATGATCGGGAGACAGTACCCCATGATTTCCAGTTGCTAGAGTGTCCCTAAAAAGCTTGTGTTAAATGAAGCGAGCTGATTTGTAAACTGGCCCCATCTTGGAGCCAGTTTTGAAAAATGAACGGTGCGCTTTTATAAAATAGAAATACAATGCATAATCTGTTCTCAGTCGATGAATGTGACCTTTTTCATCGATGTTTGTGTTTTTATGCAATTCACAGTTATAGTTTTGGAATAAAATGAAATATTGCAGACAATTTAAATATGTTGAGATTTTAGGTATATAATCAAAAAATTAAAAGCATGCCAGGGTGCATGTACGGAATTTTTTTTATAAAATGGAATACAGGAATTAGTATTGTTTCTCATATTTTGTGAATAACAAAAGTCACTTATTATTAGAAGTACAGAAAAACATGCGCGTCAGCCCTTAGCACAGGATTCAATTATGTTTTTTATTAGCTTATTAACATATATATTTTGATCATATGCTTAAAAAAGAAGATAACTTGAATTAATCAATTTATTAAAAAAACTGTATCTAAAATGTTCATTCATTTGCCTTCCTTTCAAGCACAATCAAAAGTATTTGTGGGCTATTTAGTCATTGGAAATCATTTACAAAGTCGAATCCAAATTATAATCGGATTTTTGATAACAAAGGATCTATTTTTCACAACATAAGGTTAATCAAAAGTAACTCATTAACTCAATGAATTCATTCAAAGTACAGTTTTTAGTTGAGACATTTGCATTTTCATACTTATCTAATACGGGTACTACTACATTATACTATGTTTGCATGTGCAAGATATGTCAGATATTTGCATCAGTTCTTTTGTTTAGTATTTATCTCGTTGTATTATTGTATTATGTGGGAAGTAGGATCAGATAGAGATGTCAGATCTCTCATGTCAGTGCACTTCGTGTTCTCTCTATGTGTGTCAACAAGTGACATCTATAAAAGGCTGAAAGTCAAAAACAGATAATATGACATAGATGTAGTTTGAATATTTATTAAAGATATCATATCATTTAGAATTGAATTACGTATCGTTTCATCCAGTCTGGACAATTTAAAAATAATGAAGGATACTTAAATTATGACCCCGATGGTTACTTTCCTCCCAAATTGTGTTTTTCATGGGCCTAATTATAACAGCTGATTAAACCTTCATTCTCAATCGAGCAATTGTATATGGAGAACCTATCGCTTAATGACCATAATTCGAAACGTTCCAATACACGTCCTTTTAAAACGTTCTTTTACAACTCTTAAAGTCGAGAATAAAGCCAGAATAAAGGCATGTGATCAGCTAATGATACATTTCTTGAAAGTAATCTTATCTATTAAAAGTACAATCAATGCGACTTGATATGAAATATTAATATTTGATTTAATATATCTGATCAAATGTGTGAGAATTAAAGATTATTATATATAAATTAGATGCAAAAATGTCCAAACTATTTACTCTTTATTTTTTAGGGGTTATGTTTATATAGTTTATCAATCAGTACAATTGAAAGAGCGTTCGTGTTATAATTTAGAAAAAACATACCACATAGACAATATCGCAATATTTTAAGATTATTTTATCCTTTGTTTAATATATCTTTTAACAGATCGAAGATTATTATCATTAGAAATGTAGTCTCGAGTAAATACTAGTTCCAAAACATCTGATTATGTCAAATGTTTTTTGCACTATTTAGTTCCTTTAGTATCAGCAAATACAATCATTACTACCTTGCCGGACCTGTTCTAGGGGTATAAGTATTGATTTAGAAGGCATTTATTTTACTTTATTGACCTGAGCAATATGTGACGTCGTAGTTATGGGCCAGTCCGGCAATCTTCCCAGGGAAATGAGATATCGTTTTATGTATATAATTTTCGTTCAGTGGTAGTCGGTTCTTGCTATTTCAGCCCTGGGCATAAATGGTGGTGATAACGTCGTTTTGCGGGCAATAATTGAAATATTGGACCTTGGCCTTCGGCCTGTATTGCCTTTGAAATGATGTTATTGTACTATTATCTCTCTGACCAATCTGCTTATGGTAAACTCTCAAATTTATTTATTTCAACAATTTGAAGCAAAAAATGTAGCACATTTTCGACCCAAAGGTATTCCTTATCAAAGCAATGTGAGAGAAAACGCAACTAAACAAAGTTGAAAGTTTACCCGTCAATTAAACAACCAAGGAGATTCCATCTGATTAAACGTATCACATAGCGTAGGAAAACACACCAGAACTAGAAAATGAACGAAAAAGTAAGCTCGATGAACGCTATGTGGCTTTAATTTCAAGTTAAAGATATTATCACTGCCTTCTTTAAATAACGTAAGCAGTGTTATAAATACAAATGTTAACACTTCAATAGTATTTTGAACATTTTCGATGCTGTCCTTAGTCAGTGTTACGGAGTCTTACATTGTGTTTCTCGTGGTGTTTAGTGGATTTAACTCTGGGCGCGCAAACTGGGCAATTTCAAAA